ACCTTGTCCCTGTCATGCAATATCCTCTTAAAGTCCGTTGTTCCAGCTCGTTGGAGGAGCGCGATCCTCTGGTAGGTCCGCTGCGGGCAAAACGCAAGGAGGTGGTAGAGAGACTGTCGGGGGGCACCACACTCACACGCTGGGTGGATTCCAGGGACACCGATTTTCGCGAGCCATTCTTTAACTCCAACTACCTCAGTCCGTAGTGCCATAAGCGCCGAGGCCTCATGTTTCTGAAGGCCATCGAACCGGTTAAGGCACTGGGTTTCCCACGGGTCCTTCCATGTCCTTGCTCTCCTTCCTGGTTTGGCCGCTTCGGCTTGCCTTCTCTCCCTCCATTTCGCCCGATACTCGTCCTGATCATCCGGTGCGGGCCTTTTCGCTGTTGTGTCTGATATCCCCTAGCCGGTTCGGGCCGGGGGAACAGAAGTTTGTCATATTGGGTCCGGAGAGTACATATTGCGGGTTCGGGTTTAGACCGGACACGGCGGGGTCGGCCTCGAGTTCGTCTCGAGGGACATTAAGATATCTGACTTAGGGAAAATAGAAAATATTCGATAGCTCTAAAATGATAGAGACCTAATATCGGATGAATACAACGTCACAACCGAGAGGTTTCAACGCCTCCGGGATATGCTTCAGCCTTCTATGGCTATGAATTGTACCTACACAGCATGCTCCTTCTAGGAGTGAGGTTAACTCCTGATTCGATGTAAATACCAGATTTGAGAACCTCAGCAGGGCCGTTTTTGAATACGAATGCTGCTGGGGGGACCTGGGGGAGGAGGTAGCAGGTCCATTCAGGGTTGATTAACTTGATAGCAGAAAACTCTTGACTCTTTCCCTCGGTCAATATGAAGGTTGAAAGCATGAAGATTTGCCGAATTAGAAAGGATAGAATGTACAGCAACTCCTCGGTTAGGTCATCAAAAAGTAAGGTCTGGCTGACATTGACAGTTCTTAGGTTTGAGACCTTGGGGGTATGCTTCATGGCCAACTATTTCGTCCAATCTGGAAGGTCTATTCGAATGAGAAATATTCTACCTTTACACTGGCTTGTGGACGACCAATATCCACATGCACATAAACACAGAGAGAACTTGAAAATTAGTCTCCATTCCCCGAACCTCCTCTCTCACGCTTTTCTTTCCTTCAAGCACACGATCCGTCCAGCTCAATCAACAGCAACGAAGATGGCGGCACTTAACGGAGACGCATCTGGGCGCTAGCGTAACCGCGCAATCGATAGAATCCCCGAGAAGGGCATTTTTATGGTCCCGCAGAGTGAATGGGATGAAGTGGGCGCATACCTCTGAGGTAACAACCTAACCGAAGAGGTTTTTCACGTATCTTTCATCAACTGGGTATGGGATATGTTCAAGCGGACCCGTTACGAGAAAGAACCGCTAATAGAGGCTCAATCTGAGGTCCGTGTTATCGTTTAGTAGATGATGGTTTCGGCTTCGGGCTATATTCAAGCCTTGGGGTGCTTTCGACGGGATATGGACGCGGACAAGATGGCGATGATCGTAAATGAGGAGATCGTGCCTGGAAAGATCAAAACCGAAAGTGAAACCTTTTTCTAAATGCCCTTATCCGGTGTGGGCTACGGCTAATTGAATACCTAGCCGACCATAAGATGTTGCGGAAAGGGTTGTTGACAATGATCTTCCCCGCCCATACACAACGGCCGCACGCCCGCCGACAGCTAAAAGCACGAGAGGCTTTCGACCTCGTCGAGTCTGAATCTCTGGAAGAAGAAAAGGTGGAGGAAGATGAAGGCCCCGAGACAAGCAGTCAACCAACTATGCAACCGTCAAGTCTCCACGCGCTCGCCTCTGGAGCACTTCAACTGGCCTTTAGGAGAAAACCCATTGCTAAGGAGGACGAGGGTGAAGACGAGAACGCATTGTCAAGCCAGTCACAGCCGTCGTTTGGGAGTGGGGCTAGGCAACGTATGCTCCCCATCAGGGGTAAACCAGCACAGAACGAGTAGCCCCATATTGAGAGGGGGACAGCCGCTTAACCATTAACTAGTCGAACCCTATCCATTCGCCTTCCCCTTCCTCAACTTCTCCCTCCATCTCCATCCCATCCCCATCCTCCCCCTCTTCTAGCAAATTCCCGTTTTCATCCCTATGTACACCACTTGTCTTTCCTTTCGCCGGCTGGTTTAGCAAGTACTCCACCAAATACAAGGTCTCCTCTGACAATTTCCCCAACTCCTTTCCAATTTTCCCTACTGCTCTCATCACCGCCCGCATCTCCGGCGCGAACTGGCCGATATTATCCTTCAAATACCTCCCGTGTTTCCGCAGCACCGCCTCCGTCCAGAGCAAGTTGAACTCCAAATGCGGCGTCTCGTCCACCTGCACCGCCACGAATCGCAAGAATCGGTCGAGGTACACCGTCGGCATGTCCTTCACCACCAACGGGATATCCGCGGCGGGCACGTGCTCGAACACCTGGCGCACCAGCGAGTTGTCATTCAGTCGGAACGCCATGACCAAGGCCTTGAGGTGGCTTCCTTTCTCCATCTCCGCGCGCGTGCTGTCCGGCGTGACGGTGACATCGAGGTCGAACGGATCGAACTGGATGACGTTGTCAAGCGAGTAGATCAAGAGACCCTCGGTGGATGACGCGCAGAACGCACGGCCGGTGGGCGAGAACGCGGCGGCAGACACGCGGACCTCCGGTCGGGTTTTGCGCGTGCTGGCATCCCCTCGGCTCGCGCCGGGAAGGGATCGATCGATCCGGTTTTCCAGGTCAGATTCCTCGCCTTGCTCGTCGATGAGGCCCCGCGGTCCGGCCTCGGTGAGCAGTTTGCTGTTGAGGAACTCTTGGGTGCCGTCTAAGGAGAGGTTGACGGAGACGGTGAACTTCTTGATGAGGACGCCGGCTTGCACTTCGTACAGGCAGATGTACTTGCTGTTGCCACCTGCGAGCACGCACGAACCATCGGCGCTGTACGTTATGGTTGCGAAGCTTTTGGTGCCGGCGACATTGGCAGCGGTTCGACGGTCGGAGATTTTGCGACCTCCAGACGCATCACGACGACCGTCAACGCCACCTTGTTGGACCGCGTCGGAAACCGACCAGAACGACAATTGCCCATCGAGAGTCGAAACCGCAATCTGCTTGGAATCCGGTCGGAAGGCAACCGACAACACATCCGCTTGCAACTGCAGTGGCTCACTCGTCTGAGTCCTTCCGAACACGCTCCACAACCTGACCGTTCGATCCCAACTCCCGCTCGCAAGCATCCCGCCCGTCGCAGAAAACGCCAATGACGCCACCGGGCCCTCGTGTGCGGAGAGTTGATCGAGCAACTGGCCAGTCTGGACGGACCAGACATGGATATCGAAGGAGTCGAGAGACCCGGCACAGACGACTTCGCCACTGGGATCAACTGCAAGCGAAGAGAATGATAGCCTCGTCGGTGCGGTGAAGGTGCGGAAATTTCGGTACCGTATCAAATCCCAGGCTCTTACCGAGCCGTCCAGACTTGCCGTGAACAGGACATTTCCGCGCTTTGCAAACTCGCATGCGGTGACTCCACTCGTATGCTCGGTGAATGTGACGATACAGAAGCCCGAAGTGACGTCCCAAACCTTGATTTTCCCATCGTCGGCCGTGGTGATGATGCGCTGGCCATCGGGGGAATAGGCGATGGAGTTGATGGAATCAAAATGGCTTTGTTGTTTGAGAATGTAGGATTCGGATTGCCATTCCCAGACGAGGAGTTGGCCGAGTTTGGAGGCGCCGAATGCGAGCCATTCGCCGCTTTGGTTTATGGAGACGAAGTCGATTTCGTTTTGAGATATGCTGGAAGTGGGTTAGTTTCTTAGGTTCAATATGCAGGAAGGGATCAGATATACCTGAGGGTTTGGAGTTGTGAGAAGTCAGGTAGCTCGTAGAGACCAAAAATCCCATTCGAGAACCCAGCAACAAGAAGATTCGAGGAGGCATGATATGCAGCGCAAGTGACATAGGCATTATCTTGCATGAAGTAATGCTTGTCGATTATCCTCCACTGCATCTCCTCTTCGATCTCCATATCCTCCTCGGCTCGTTGTGGCTTCGGCACATATCCCCAGTGGAACAGGGCTCCATCCTTGCTGATGGTATATATTGTCTCCTGATCTTTTGAGAACCATGCTGCAAGCACCGGCTGCCTATGTCCGCTCAGAGATGTCGGAATAAACCCTTCTTCCGGGTTCAAACTCCATATCCGCGCACTCAGATCTTTGGATGCGGTGAGGAAGAATCGGGAGTCGCTTGACCATTCGATGCTTTGTACCTCGTCGAAATGTCCGGTATATATCCGGTGTCTCACGAACGGGGCGAACTCCAAGTCACCGTCCTCGCTCGAGCCAGGTGTCGACGGAGTGTGCCATACCTCGATCTGTCGCCCGATCGCCGCCGCAAAGTGCCTTCCCGAGGGTGAAAAGACGAGGGATGTGACAGCAGTTCGGAAGGAGAAGTGGAAGAGGGCAATGCGACGGGGGAGGTTCGTTAGGATGGCGCGTCCATCTTCGTCGACGGTGAGAAGGAGATTGCCCTGGGGATTGAGGGCAAGTCGGGCGATGTTTCGGCGGTGCGCAAAAGGGAGAGTATACGACTTGTTGCTGGTATTTGTAAGCCATTGCGGTCGCAATGTACCCCACCTGTGACACGTACTTCACTAGGTCAAAGACCGTAACTCGATTGCCTACCGGCGACAATAAGCTGTTGCCATTGGGGGAGAACAGCAGGTTTCCGCGGGTATATACCGTTCCCAGCAGGTTGGAGAACTGAATTAATGTTAGTGGATGGACCAACCAGAACTTGGAACAATGCACTCCATACCTTAAAATCGGTCTTCATGCCTCACAACGGCAGCACCAGCAATATCAACTTGTCATCGCAGTTGTCGCAAGTTGCAAATGTCAAATCTCGAAATTTTTCCGATTGGGTTTAGCGCACTTGGAGGGGCTTCTCTTCTTCTCCCACAGCACGTGAGCAGTCGGAATCGGAGAAACTAGTCTCCGACATTCAACTTAGTCAGTCAGGGACCCTTTCTCTTCTGCATGTTATGTGGTCCGTGCGACATGGTCCGTGCGTCCGCATGTCTGGGGAGGTCAAGGTGTCGCGAAGTTTTAAGGGATGAACGACCACAAGTCTACCACTTGATCACTTCCCTCTTCCTACCATTCCATTCGATATATCTCTGTCCATTTGACTTTCCCCAGGACTGTACTTGAAGGGAACAGTGTTTGCTGCTGCTTCTCAAGCTTCACAATTCTTCCTGCCACCTGCACGAACTCGAGACACCCCAGTGTTTGCGACTTCGACCCCCTTTACGCTCTCACCACCAAGCTACGCTTCTACAGCATAGTCCTGTATAATGGCCGAATCACCGTCTCCGATTGGTATTGCCAATGTAAGTTGGGCCAAAATTGTGTCGTGCATTTTAGGTATATGTTGCTAACCGCTTGCCCCTAGCTCCCCAACCAACGGTGTGTCCTCCATAATCGAAACAACCGTGCATCCTTTCTAACAAATACACAGACATAAGATCGTTGCAAAGCGTGGAGCGGCTTTCACTATTATGGTACGCGTCACATCCTCAATTGTCGGTGCTGTTTCAGTTGATTGACTTCCTCTAGGTTGCTGGTGAATCAGGACTGGGAAAGACCACATTCATCAACACGCTCTTCTCCACCACCATCAAGAACTATGCCGACCACAAACGTCGACACAACAAACAGATTGATAAGACGGTCGAGATTGAGATCACCAAAGCCGAATTGGAGGAGAAGTTCTTCAAAGGTGAGCGGAATTGTGGTGAGACCTTGATGGCTTCGCTGACCGCTGATTACAGTCCGCCTGACGGTCATTGATACTCCTGGCTTTGGCGACTATGTCAACAACCGGGACTCGTGGCAACCCATCATTGAGTTCTTGGATGACCAGCATGAGTCCTACATGCTTCAGGAGCAGCAACCTCGCAGGACGGATAAGATCGATCTTCGAGTCCATGCTTGCCTCTACTTCATTCGCCCCACCGGTCATACTCTGAAGCCATTGGACATCGAAGTCATGAAGCGACTTTGCACTCGGGTCAATCTGATCCCTGTCATTGCCAAGGCCGACACATTGAGCCCATCAGACCTGGCCAAATTCAAGCAGAGAGTCCGTTTGCGCCATTCCTTTTTGACTCGACCGCAGCTGATATAGAATCCAGATAAGAGCCGTCATTGAAGCCCAAGGCATCAAGATCTACCAGCCCCCGATCGAGGATGACGACGAAGCAGGCATGCACCATGTCCGAAGCCTCGTCTCCGCCATGCCCTTCTCCGTCATCGGCTCCGAGAAAGACGTGCAAACCAGCGACGGCCGCCCCGTCAAGGGCCGACAATACGCCTGGGGAGTCGCGGAGGTGGAGAACGACGAGCACTGCGATTTCAAGAAGCTGCGCAGCATTCTGATCCGCACCCACATGCTCGACCTCATCCACACCACCGAAGAGAACCACTACGAGGTGTACCGCGCCCAGCAGATGGAGACGCGCAAGTTCGGCGAAGCCCGCCCGCGCAAGCTGGACAACCCCAAGTTCAAGGAGGAGGAGGAGGCGCTCCGGAAGCGCTTCACCGAGCAGGTCAAGGTCGAGGAGCAGCGCTTCCGATCGTGGGAGCAACGCCTCATCTCGGAGCGCGACCGCCTGAACAAGGATCTCGAGCAGAGCCACGCGATGATCAAGCAGCTGGAGACGGACGTGGAGCAACTCCAGGGCAGCGTGACCCGGTCTCATGGACGTCGTTAAGGTGTCAATCGGTTGGCCATCCATCCTGGAAACCTAAACTCATGTTCGGAGATTCGGAGAAAAAATATTATCATGTGGGAAAAAGCACAGCAATGGCTTCTCTGTTTCGTTTTGTTGGGATTTCCTTCCGTCGTTTCGAGAGATACCTCACTTTACCCTCCCCTTGTTTTCCCCCTCCACAGTGCGTGTTCCTCACGGTTGTAATTATGCGCCTGGCCCCTGTTCCTCATTTTTTTATCCGTTTCGTCGGGCAGATCAGGCTCGCCCCTGGTTGCTGCGTCAAGCACTATTCCGTGGCACGGCGTAGCGTGTGTATGCGAGCGAGTGAGCGAGAATGGAATCGCGCTTAGCACGAAACGACAATAATACCTACCGTTTTTTCTTCGCTTGTCGATCTACCATTGCGTTTCTGAGGGGATGCATTCATGCGATGTGACTCTGAGTAATCGGGGATGAGGACCCGGAACGATACCTTGCTGGCTTGTGTTGGCCCCTGTTTCCGGACGTTGCGCATTGGGAACCTGGTGTGGCTATAGATATCGTGGACAGTGATCGTATACCCCAAGTTTATGTAGTTGATAACCCGTAATAGTAAGTATCGATGTCCAGTTCACTTCACCACATCCTCAATCCAACCCGTTTGATCCGGTCACCTTATTTCTACTTGTACAAATCTCCCAGCCGTGCAAACCGAAAACGTAATCGTCCATTCTCCCTACAGCGATTCCCAGATTTCTGGATGAAGGTGGCAGAGCTGCAACTCGCCAGTATTATAAACAACATGCTAGTCGGAGCGTAGGTGACAATCTACCTACACTTTCTATAGCCAACTAGCTTGTACGATTTATGAAGCTCGTCGCGGAGTTGGTGATACGGAGGCAGTTCCCCTAAGTAAGATCGATCATGACGAATGTTTACGAGCATGGGACCGAGAATCCTCTCTTTGAGAGCGCGGAATCCGCAACTACAGACTCTTCGGGGTAGTAACAAAAGGAGCGACCGAACATTCATGATCTAAGGTCTTAACTTCGATGGATATCTAAGGCTGCTCAGGTTGTACTAGCAACAATTGCTCAAAGACTTCAAGGAGCACCCTTTATCGTCCTCGAAAATCTCAGGGGTTTGTCAGTCGAAATCTCGGCCGAGAATTACCCGATGGAGATGAGCTAGGTCTGGACAAAAACCTTAACATCAATGATCAACTATCCATTCAACGATATTAATCAATTGACCAATTCTTTTGAGCGGCATTTATACTGGTACCTAGCGCCATCGTGTCTACAATGTATTCTCCAACTCTTCGCTCCTTGTACCGCCGCTTCCTTCGCGAGCTTCCCGCGCGGTCGCCCACCACTACCATCCTCTCCGACCCATCGCCGCTGCAGTACCGCATCCGCGCCTCGTTTTCCAGTCCGTCCATCGCGGCCGAGCCCAATAATGAGGTGCCATCCGGTGCTGCGGAGGCAGATCAGTTCGTCCAGTATCTCACAGCTCAGAGGCAGTACACGACGCTGGTCGAGCGGTATAATCCGGGGGCGAGCATGAGCGAGGAGGAGAAGGTACGGTTGACGGCGAGGAGAGTGGGAATGGAGCTTCCGAAGGATGTGATGGGGGATAAGCTATAATCGGGCAAGAGATGTTGGATCCTGTGGAGGAGGAGCACTTTTACCTCCTTCGTTGGGAGTAGGACTTGCTTCTCGTCCACTTTCTGTCGAACGGTAAGGTAGTGGTCGTTTTCCAACAGGATCCGGTATGGAGTGGTTTACAACTGGCATGTACATGAAGATGCAGTCATTATTATGATATTCTTCGAAGTATCAGACTCCTGGTAAGTCAAATGCTAGTAGTCATATGAATCGGAATATTGACAGTCTCAGATGCGGTACACCATACAAACAGCGATGCTTGTCATTGCTCTATCGTGTCTCCTCCTCTCGACACGGATATCCGCTCGCGCTCTACCAGAATATGAGACCGGTTTCCAATCTGTGGTTCAGTCCTTATGGCAAACGACCATCCCACCCTTTTACAAATACGCCACCGGCTGTGCATTCACATCGACACTTACCGATGCACAAACCGAAGCCGTCGTTTTCCCAACATACGCAAACTGGACTGGGACAAATTGGCGCGCCCTCTTCCATGGCTTCCTCTTCCAAGAGCCCTGCATGTCAGAGGAGAGAATTGACACACTCTCAAATATCATCCTCAGCCTGGCTGGTGTTTCTGTCAGTGACATGCACCCGGCGCAAAGAGATCATGTACGGGATGCTTCGAGGGGAATCTTCACCATTCCGAAGAAAGGCCACGTAATATATCCGCACATCATCCTCCCATCTGGCCGGACAGGCACCGTGATTTCCACGACCGACCGGAACTCAGTGACCTCCGACATAATGGGCGATTTCCGCGATTTTTTTGACATCTGTGTTGATTGCGGCGTTTTCGACGGTGACCGTACGAACCGTATTCAAATGCTGAAATGGAACATGTCCAAGGCCACCATGGCCCCCTCTGTCAATTACAAATGCCCGAACATCTTCCTGGTCCCTCCCGACCATGGTCTTACCTTCGTCTCGGACGTCGACGATATCCTCCGCATCGTGAAGACTTGGCGCCCGGCCTATGCCATCATGACGCTAATCGCCTGGGATTTCACGCCGTGGCTGAACATGCCCAACATTTACCGCTACTGGGCCGCGAGATGGCCGAACACGCACTTCCACTACCTCTCCGACTGTCCCGACACCTTCAGCCCTCTATACCTCGACTTCCTCAACAAGCACTACCCTTGCGGCAGCTTCGACGACCGCGCCATGTCCACCGTCATGGGCTCTCGTGAGCGGGCGCACCGTCAGGTCATCGAGAGCTTCCCCAAGCGGAAATTTGTGCTGGTGGCCGACACGGGGAACCCGAGCAATATGATCCTGTTCCCGAAGCTCGCGAAGGAATATCCGCAGATCACATGCATCCTGATCCGCAACATCACCGTCACCGACCCTAGCCATTACCTCCATTTCGACCTCCGCGAGTTCGAGACGCTGGATCCGGACCGGTATATGTTCTTCAACGTGCCGAATGACCTGTATGGGATCGACTTCAAGAGGGGCGAGTGCCGGAAGCATCACATCCACCCGGTAACCCCGCCGGATGAAACCGATTCTCGGGTTACACCGCTTGGGGCGGCCATGACTACGGCGCGAGCCTGGTTTGGGTGGAAGTGGTGGTGCATGTGGTGGGGGGATCCGAGTAGTGATGAATGTCGCCTGATTCAAGGTGCGGAGCCGCCGTGGACTTGGGAACAGGTTGTAAATCAGAAGGTCACCTAAAGCTTTGTGTGGTCGCGGGTTTTGTGCTGTATTCGACATTTTCTCGGATGTGAAGCTCGTTCGGTTACCCTCTGGCGTTGTGGTTGGAGCGATGTGGTTGGTTGATATGGCCTAATTGGTCCTCAAATACCGCTCTCCTCAGTTCAATCATATCATGCATTCTTGGTTGTGCCTAATTCTAAGTCAATTCGTTGTCCAACGTAGGGTAGGATGAAATGGTCATGGAGGACAGAAGAAGTCTGGTCAGGTTCCTGATACAGCGGTCTGGTGGAACCAGAACAGAACCAAACTGAAGTTCAGGCGCTAAGGCAGCAATGCATTCAACTTTTGTGGGACTGGACTGATTCGACTGATTTAACCATCACTGAAATGTCTGATGCTCTTCTGTTGTCAAGGTCGCCCTTGTTATCAACCATAGTTACCACTTTCCAACGTCCTACACCGGGTATTACGGCTACGTCTGCTAAGATAAAATGCAATAGGGTCTTTACATCCATCAGTATGTGGACTCATCGCCCAGTCCGTTTCTTCTCTCTCTCACTGTAGTTAGGCTTTGCGAATGAGAGATTAAGCTCATGATAATTCTGCAGCGCTGTCTTTTCTACCATATTCCGGGTAGTTGATTTGGTCATACTTCTTTTTCTAGGACTCGTTAATTCAGGAGAACTGTGTTTTAGATATATAGTCATCTCTGTGGCACTGACTTGTGCCAATGATGCAGCTTGGTGAGTCTTAGCAGGAATCCGACCACCCCGAGACCATGATGGAACGTCCTATCTGTGCACAGGATCTTTAACAGACCTAATTGGCATCCGAGATAAATAAAGGATTAAGCGAGTGGGCCAACTGACAAAGTAACGATTAGAGTTCGAACGTTGCATCGACGATGTCACCGCCCAATCCCGAAAAGCTAGGCTGGCGTATTAATCGGAGACTAGCCGAATCATGACGTACCTCCGATATGCCCTACTTCGTCGCGCGGATCTAATCAGAGCCCTTCAAGATCGAGAGATCACTGTGCCTACGGAGCACCGACACGCACTACTACGCCCAGCGAGGGACGATGAAATCTCTGATGGCAAGTGTTACTTACTTCGCGAATTGATCCACGACACTGAAGATGGCCTTGATTGGTGCATTTACATCCTCATTATGCTAGCCTAGAGGTGAATTGCTTCTACTAACGTCCGATATGCATCAACTTTTTGATTCCTATACGATCTTAATTAACCTAGACGTGCGTCTATCACACGTAGCCCCAGTGAATTTGGCTAATAGATTTTCTAGGGCAACTACAAGGTTGTAGCCTTTCGACCTCTTCCGGGAAGTATTGCTGGCAAGCCTCTCGATCAAGCGCTATTTACTGGCCTAGATAGCAACGCAGACTGCTTGTAACAGACGGACTGCCCCTATGAGAGTAGGGGCTCATACAAATCCTGTATGAGGTGGAAATGCCTGTTGCAATAATGTGGCCTGGCGATAGAGGTCCGAAACGAATAACTACGAATAATACGAATAATATGAATAATTTGTGAATATGAATAAAGTCTTGGCGAATATGTGAATATGAATACGCCTTATATTCATATTCGCAATATTCATGAATACTTCACATAGATATAGGCAAATGAAATAGTAACATCTAAAGCCTCATTACTATAACATGTCAAGGAGTGCTTGGGACTGTCAATATAATAATCAAGGCGTAGATATACTGTCGATGTTCATTTGATCAAAAGCTTAATAGTCTGAATACATTAGATATATAAGTCGCCAAAGAAGAAAGGAAAAAGAAAAGGAAAGTAGATATCATAGTATACCACTATACTCTGTGTTTATCACCATCACGGTAGTTCTCTATACATTCCTAACGGCCACGAAGAGTCTCGGATAGACTATCAATTAGGAAAGGATTCGTTATTATAGTGTCCCTTCAGGAGTACAGGCCACCTCATCGTCTCTGCATTCAGAGAGTGTCTCCTAAGACCTAACACGTCTCGCGCACCACTAAAAAGACGTTCCACGCCTACTTCAGCAGAGGGAACTGGGAGATAGTCGCGTGCCGCTTGAGCCATGCAAGGGAAGTCAGGCGCATTTGCTTTCCACCATTTCAATACCCAGTCAGGGTCACCGTCCGCAAACGAGGGATGCGACCAGCTAGCCGGAGCAGAATCCAAGTATCGGTCGACGTCCGAGGCCTGCGCACATGGATATGGCTAAACCCGTTTAAGTGTCTTCCACAGTAACTCGGGCATACCTGATGGGCGTTCCGTCTCTAATGGTACACTAGGGTAAAATGGATATTTTTGCTTGAAGAATTCGCGCACTTCGGAAACGATTAGTTCAGCGCCCTCTTTGTTCATCTATGCTTCGATCAGGGATGTCTTGATACGCGGATCGAGGACGGCCACCACATAGTATAGGATGTTATCGTCCATCATCTTAGTAAACTTATCCATCTTCCCCTTCGCTCTTCCCACCGCCTCTCTAAGGTTGACACCCACGTCTTCAAACCCGCCTTTCGCCGTGTGAACTTCGTCCAGAAGGTCATCGAGGGCCTGATAGATTGGGAGGCAGTCCATAAGGCTCGGACAACTCCTTGAAACGTGGTTGGTATGCTCCCAAAACGGTTTTAGAATCCTCTCAATTCGCTCCAGGGTGGACCATTCTGCGTCTACAAGATGTAGTGTTCTCACGTCGGGGTGAGTGCGTATAAACTGTGTAAGCTCTCTTCGGAGGCGGATCGCCTCGGTGATCATGATATATGTTGAGTTCCATCGATTATCGACGTCATAGTTAATTTGCTTGGTCGGAGAGACGAGCTTCTAATCTTGGCGGCGCTGTGGACTTCGGGTAACCCAGAGGACGAGAAGACGGATCTTAGCAATAGCACTTTTCTCCTCACTCGTGGTTGGGAGGGGCTGGTTCTTATGAAGTTCTAGTTCATCCAACGCTACCTTAGCTTCCCTAATCGAACTCGATCCTAGAGCTGCTAGAATTTCCTTGCAGACGAGATTGATAATATGAGCCAAACAACGAATGAAGCTTCTCCGGCCATGGAACCGCATCAGTGGCTTAAGACCGAGGTCATTATCCGCATCCTTATATTCTTTCAGTAGCTCGGTATATAGAACATCACATAAGGTACCGTTATTGCCAGCGTTGTCGCCCGTGATGGTTAAAACTTTCGGAGCGATATCCAGTTCGTGAACCATGGTAAGAAGGTAATCGGCTAGGTTTTGGCCCGAGTGAGGCCCCTGGATTTCCGCAAAGTCTAGGAGGACTTCTCGCTTTTCGAAGCCTGGGTTGATCCAACGGCCGATCACACCTATGATCGGTAATTGATTCTCGGAGGTCTAAGCATCGAGCGACAGCGCAATGGAGTGGCAACTTTGTGCCAAGTCTTGCTTAAGCGCATTCCTTATTTTAGAGAACTTATCCTTGATTCGATTATAGAGAGTATCCGCGCTCTTAACGGGAAGCTTGATATTGACAGCTTCAAAGACTGTTTGAAATGAAGGATGCTCCACTACCGTGAATGGCTGCCGTGTCTGGACCACCCACTGAATCAATGCTTGCTTAATGCTTGGACTTGCCTTAGGAAGGCGGACGAATCGATCGAGGGAGGTTATCGACGTTGACGACTGGCTCGGCGAGTCGCGTTTTACCCTATGGCGGGTACGGAGGTGGGTAATGAGGTTTGAGGTCGATCCATGGCGAGCAGAATCGGTCGAGGACCAACTACAACGCTTGCACACAAATACTCGATCATTCTTAGGAGGCTGGCCCCATAAAGTTTCGAGCACGTTGATCCAAAAGTGCTCTAAAGCCCAGCTGGTTCGTGCCTTTGTTTTTCTGATCTGGCGTCTGGCCAGAGTGTTTAACTCAGTCCCGGTCGACGGCTCAGAGCTTGGAGGCTGAGGTTGCGAAGAGCAGTGAACTTGTGATATGGATACCGACTCAAAGGGTGTTAAGCTATTAGACACGACTGACTCGTATGATCTAGGAGACTCTTGAGGCTCGGACTCGAGTTTATCAGGAATATCCGGAGAAAGATCTAGGGGAGTAACATTCAATCCGTTGTTTAATTCCGCATAATCCCGGCGAGGGGCTTTTCATGTACTTCGGGAGAAGTCGATGCTAGATTGAGCCATGCTGCGTAGGAAATCAGGATCACGCTCGTTGCCACGATCCCAGACTTCATGGATGTTAAGTAAATCGATAGTGTTGTTTATTAAATAGGATTGAACGGTAGCATATGTAGGATCGTTAACGCGATAGGCGTGTCATAACAATCCAGGATTCGCGGCTTGAAGTAAACAAACCGTCATTCTCTATCACCGAAAGTCGAATACATGATTTGACGCGTCATTAACGTGTCAACTCATGTAACTTATTCCCGGTGCAAATTTAATAGTTATTTAATAGGTTTTGGAGGTTTTAGGCGGCGTTGACGTTTGAGAGGTAGTTTGCGGGGAAAGTTGAATAAAAATGATATTGGGAAGGAGAGGCAATCTTTGAATTTCTCTATCCCTACGATAGAATAGGGCCCCGTACCTACTACGTAGTAGACATACGGGATATATGGGATCCAAATTCATGGCAATTCATAGTACGGCTTAAAGCAGCGCAAAAAACACCTGCGTGCGTTCTGGCATAGGAACTGGACTCAAATCTGTCTATTGAGAAGCAAGACGATAGCATATAACTATATGGGAAGAGGAAATGGGTCGGCCCGGAACAACAAATACCCGGAGAGATATGTGAATAATATGAATACGAATACGAATATGAATATTGGGCATATTCATATGAATAATATGAATACGGGCCATATTCGTTTTCATTTATGGATATTCATTTCGGAGCTCTAGCCGTGGAACAGCCCCATAGATAAACGAAAACACTAATACGGAAGCCCAGCCCTGAGAAAAGCTTCCTTCGAAGCCATTTCTCGGTATCTGTGGGTTCTTGATTATCATCGAGCGGGCAGATTGGCCACAGAAGGTGTTCGTTGCTTGTGTTATATTCGTATTCTCTCGTAAACGGCCACAGAGCAAAGCGCCAGGGTAGTGCCATCGTTAATCCCAGCTAGCGGGCATATCCATAGAGCGTCTACTGGATGGAACACCACGGGGTCTTAGCAAGGACTACGTAGGCGTTATATTCATTAATACGAGCTAGGCGAGGAGGAGAATATATTACACAAGGTAATCCTATATCTTGCGATGTATCATGATGGCAGAACGTCAATGTGGTTATGACTGGGCAGCGCCTAGCTTCGATTCAAGTTCGAGCACTGGATTTTGTCAGGGATTGGCCGGTACCGTCAGTTTCGATCGTATCAAGCCTCGCAGTCTCCCACTTCTTAGCACGCGACCAAAAGGAACTCAAAGGCGGAGCTCGTCAATGCTAAGCAACGAAGGGTGGCGTAACTACTATTTTCGAATCTCAAGCGGCTGTGACGGAATGGGTTCGTCTAATGGGAGCATCCTATATGCTAAGAGTAAGCGAAGGAGATGCCTACTTCCGAATCCGTTCCCTCTATCTCTCCTACGTAAAGCGTCGGTGAACCTGCGCTTTCGTATCATGCTGCCGCCAATTGGCCTAGGGGTTGTTACTTGTTAGGAACATCACTGTGCACGTTAATCGACCACCACGAGTCAATGGAGCAGGACAACAAAACATCGACTCGGCTGTTCCCAAACTCCAGGTAAACAATTAGTTAAACCTAAACGACTAGTGTTAGACCTGGGCCGGGAGAACATCGGCAAGGCATTAGGTTGCATCGTTACCCACGTGAGCGACAGGCAGTACATGCTTTGATGCTTATATGAAACCTCATTAGCGATAGAGCTTCGCAGCCTTTCTCTGCCCTAGCAGTGTTCTGTTGATCCTTGGTGCGCAAATGTACCCCAGCGTCAACGTCAACTCGAATGCAATATGTCCCCCACATGCACCTAGTCCGGAAATTGGCCTTTCTGTCAAGAAGCTATGACTGCATGAGTTAGATGGTGAACGCCTATCTAACATTCGGGAATGACAAACATATATAAAGAGGCATCGAAGTGGTGGTAAGTGCTTTCTGGTAAGTAAGTGCAGTTGTCCTCGTTTCCTGCAGTGTTACACCCACCTTCTTTTAATTCAAGACAAGATGTTCCAATCACTTGCTGTTGTGCTATCGCTGCTGACTACCTCTATGGTAGCAGCGCACGGTGGTGTTATCGCGTACACCATCGATGGGCACCGCTATGATACGTAAGCCATTCCTCTGCCTTCCCCCTTGTTTAACAAGGGAATCGACGTTGACTATGATGTTCAACTCTAGTGCCACCGTTGGATCGGGAGCGTCCAGACTCAAGGCCACCCCCCGCGGCGGCCAGAACCTGCAACGACCATGGACGGGCCTTGGCCCCGTCCGCAGCGCTTCTAGCCCCGAAATGGCGTGCAACACGCCCGGTTCGCCCGTGAAGTTCACTGCCCCGGCAAAAGCCGGAGGCCAGATCAAGGCTCAGTGGAATCCGTGGCCCCATAATGGTGGCCCATTGTCGGTCTGGATGACCGAGTGCCCAGGCGACTGCGCCAGCTTCTCGAATCCCCACACGGCCCAGTGGTTCAAGATCCACGAGGACGGTCTGGCCGGCACGCAGAAGCTTATTAAAGCTGGCAACTCGCTCACCGTCACGATCCCCGCCGATCTCAAGCCCGGCAACTACCTGATCCGCCACGAGCTGATCGTAAGTCACCCTTCGAGCGGAGCTCGAGCCCCCTACTCAAAGAGTCCATGAATACTGTTTATTGACGCCGCAGAACTTGGCCCTCCCCCCCGCGGAGTTCTATCCCGAGTGCGCCCAGCTCCAGATCACCGGCAGCGGCAGCGTCTCGCCCGGGTCCCAGTCCCGTTCCACCCTCGCGGCCGCCTACAAATCCTCGCTGCCCGAGCTGGCCCAGAGCTACGACACCTGGAAGTCCAAGGCCAACCAGTACCGGTTCCCTGGCCCGGCCGTCTACCGTGGCGGTGCCGGCGGTGCTGGCGATGCCGTCAGTGCTAGCGATGCCGGCGGTGCTAGCGATGCCGGCGGTGCTGGCGATGCCGGCGGTGCTGGCGATGCGCCTAGCACTGGCTCCAGCGTCGGCTCCGGCTCCGTCTCCGGGCTGATGTCCGGCATGAACAACGGCGGCGCGGCGACGGGCTCTTCGGGCCTCAGCTCGCTATTCGGCGGCTCTAGCCTGTTCAGTGGCTTGGGGCTCTTCAACCGCCTGAGTCAAACTTAATATATCGCGACGCGGGGATTCGATGTGCCGAAGCGGTTTCCTGATGGGCCGTAAATAACTGGTTTAATGAGGTCGTGCTACTACCCGCGATGTTGGGCACTGCGAGGCTCGAGATGAAGCGTCGCGGCAGCATCCTCTTAGATAACCAGCTGGTTGGCAAGGCAAGGGAAACGACTATCACCGTGCAACACAGGGTCATCTAGCGGCCATAAACAGCTAGTCCAATGAAATTGCTTCGTGCGGAAGAGTTACCTGCCCCGACCGACGGTTCGTCCTGTCCGCTCGGAAGTCGTGTGTCGAATTTTGGGACAAGGTTTCGTAGGTGGCTTGCACTATATCTCCGGCTTCACCCCTACATGCCCTATCCGCATCTGCGTTCCCTGCGAAGTAGGGCAAGTCCGGGGCGTGGCAATTCTTTGGCAGCACAAGACCCTCATATAGTTGGTGCCTGAACAAGCCTATCACTATCACCGGGGTGTCAAAAATGACGGCGCAGGGGTAGATCAACAGAACTGAATGCCCTTGTGGACGTGTCGCCTCAAGGCTCTGGCACGCACACTGGGTTTGAGTCTAGATAGAAGGGCGAGTTCGATAACTCGTACAGCCTTCAGAAAATTCAGGTCAACCTGAACCTTTTTTCCCTAACCAGGACGCTTCGCGGGTTAAGCGGGGCTTTGCTCATAAATAACATATTCCACAAAGCGAGCGGTGCAGCTGAAAACACGCTTCGTCGGCGACGCGCCTTCACGACGCGACTGAACGCCCAATTCAAGAAAACTTACGGATCTAGAGGAGAGGATTATTATTCAACGTATCTTGGATCTAGATTCGCGAGGATTTGGGCCCCGGTTAGGTGGTGTTGAGGATATGGCCAATAAGCTACTTAGTGCTCGGGATAGCGGAAGCGTCGGCGTCAAATGGGCCTCAAACTTTGTTAAGAGGACCCCTGAGCTCAAAATGCGCTTCAATCGACGGTTAGACTACCAGAGGGCCCAGAATGAGGACCTAGAGATTATGAAGGGCTGGTTTGAGCTCGTACGCAACATTGTCGCCAAGTACGGCACCCATGAGGACGATATCTATAACATGGACGAAGTAGGCTCCCTGATAGTCCTTATCGCAACAGCCAAGGTTATCACAGCCTTTGAGAGACGCCATCGACCTAAAGCGATACAGCCAGGCAATCGCGAATGGGTCACGGTTGTTCAGGGAGTCAACGCTTAAGGCTGGCCTATCCCACCTTTCGTGATCTTCAGTGGACAATACCATTTCTCAGTGTGGTATAACGATGATATACCAAAGGATTGGGTTTTGACCCTAAGCGACAATGGGTGGACTACGAATGAGCTTGGATTTGAATGGCTACAGCATTTTGAGAAGCATACAAAGCCTCGTACAACCGGAGGCTGGCGTCTCCTGATCATTGATGGGCACGAGAGCCATAACTCGCTTTAATTCCAGGGGTTCTGCAAAGAGAAGAACATTATTACGCTTCGTATGCCTCATCACGCGTCCCACATCCTCTGGCCGCTTGATGTGGGTTGTTTTGGGCCACTGAAGAAGGCGTACGGATATCAGATTGAGGACTTGATACGGAACTCTATCAACCACATCACCAAACTCGAGTTCCTACCAGCGTTCGAAGCCGCACACGAAGCCGCTCTTACGAAGAATAATATCCATGGGGCCTTCCGAGGTTCAGGGCTAGTTCCGTACGATCCACAAGCCGTGATTTCGAAGCTCGACGTCAAACCAAGGACTCCGACTCCAGCCGCTGTGGACGCTCAATGGGAGACGAAAACACCAAGCAACGCTATTGAATTGACGGCTCAATCGAAGCTAATTCAAGGCCATATTAATGAACCATCAAAATAGCTCGCCTACGCCAATCAATGAGGCGCTTGATCAATTCGGCAAGGGCGCCTAGGCGATGGTCCATTCGCTCACGACTCTGAAGGGTGAAAACGAGAGCCTTCGAAAGGCAAACAAGCTCGCAACACAACGAAGACAACGAAAAAAAACGGATTCAGGAGCGAGGGTCTTTGACTATTGGGGAGGGGCAGGATTTAATTAATCATTCCGCCGTTGAGTCCCAAATTTCTCAAGGAATGCGTCAAAGTCGTATCCGAGAGGACGGGACTGCGACGCGTCGAAGGCGATGTGGACGCTGCCGTGAGGTAGGACATCGTATTAAATCATATCCTCTAGGTCAGCAAGATACTGTAGAATAGACTAGATATTAAAAATAATTGATTTTATTTGGCGTTGTAAAGATATCTACTTGTGAGTAGTTTGCTATGGTTGGGGTGCGCCGCTCGCTTGTGGGATACGTTAGGTATATGGATATAGTAGTTATTGATGATAAGGACCTACTTGCTCTTAGTTCAGATGCTCAACCTTGAAACCGTCCCAGTTCTCCAGCTTCTGTCTGCACATCTTCTCATAGAGGTCGATGCCGGCGGGGAACGTAAGCATCTGCGTCTTCCTCCCAGCTACGTTGCCACCATTCCACCACGAGTCTGTAAAGCGCACCAGCAAATTCTCGCACATGCGCTCAATCAAGTCCCTCCACTCATCCTGTGCCGTCTTCTCTGCTTCGACCGATCGTGCGCCTTCGGCTTCCGCGCGGGCAATGACGTCAACGATAAAGTCTACCTGGCACTCGAGGATGGTTGGGCCGTTGGAAAAGGCCGTGGGCGCTACTCAAACGGTTAGCTCCGCACCAATACGCAGGTCAGTAAATATACCTTGCGGGCTATACACCATAAAGGCATTGGGGAAGCCGTGGATTAGCATGCCAAGATAGCTCGCAATCTCCTGTTCCCAAAGGTCCTTAATGTCAACGCCATCCTTGCCCTTCAGGCCCATTTGCGTCAACCTGTCGCCGGTCAGCATTCATATCGAGCCTTCAAGATGCGTTGTAATAGACGTACGATCCAGAGAAGCTGTCAAAGCCAGTGGCGAGAATCACAATATCAAAATCACGTTGTACGCCATCTTCTGTGAGCATGCCAGTCTTATTGAAAGTCTTCAAGGGGGTCGTTTGCAGTTGCACAATATCGACATGGTCCTGGTCCAGCATCTCGTAATAGTCCCGCTCCAACGGAGCACGCTTGGTGCCAAAGTAATACGGCGGTTCGGTGGGTGCCATGAGCTCCGTCTTTGCAGCATTCTTCATCCTCGCGCGAACCTTGGACGCCCAAAAATTGTATGCCTCGCGGTTGGCCTTGGCATCCATGGCGCATTCTTTAAAGTTGGTCAAGGGAAAGTTGAACGCGCCGCGACTCCAGGACTCTTCCCAGTGCGCATTGCGCTCCTCAGGCGAGAGATCCCAAAAGCCGACCTCTGGTCTCGCGATGGGGAACCCGGCGGCAGATTGGCGGCCCGCCCCGAACATGGCAGGATAGTAGCCCTTGAGGTGCATCTGCTCCTCCTTCGAGATGTCGCGCTGCTTCATGGCAATGCAGTAGCTCGGCCGCCGCATAAATACCGTCAGGGCATCAGCTTCTTTGGCGACTTCCTGCGTGATCTGAACGGCAGTAGCACCGGCTCCAATGATGGCAACCTTTTTGCCCTTGACGCTCAGATCCTCGGGCCAAAAACCGGAGTGGTGGACAACGCCCTCGTAGTTTAAGAGCCCCGTAAACTCTGGGTAATGTCTTCGGTGAAGGAGTCCCGTAGCGAGAAACAGGTATTTGCACTGGGCCATGTGGCCGGCCTCTGTCTTTACAATCCATTTCCCTTTGGCATTGTCCCACGTGGCACTATTCACTCGAGCATCAAACTGGGTGTCTTTACGAATTCCCAAGACCTTGTCAATATGGTCAAAATGCTGTCGAAGCTCCTTATGATCGGGGAACCGAGACGACCAGTTCCAGGTGCTGTAGACCTCGGGGATGCTTAATGTGTAAAAGGGAAATTCAGAGTCGACACGAGCTCCTGGATACCGGTTCCAGTACCACACGCCCCCAATATCGGATCCGGCCTCGAAGCACTTGACATTCAGGCCCAGCTTGCGAAGCTTGTGGATCGCGTACACGCCGCCGAATCCTGCGTTTGGACATGAGCGGACGAAAACTATAGGGCGAAAAGAAAAACATACCTGCTCCTACGACCAGAACGTCGCAATTTACGATTGCTCCAAGGGAGCCATTTACTGTGGACATGGTGGAATAGTCTGCAGAATGAGCTCAACAAGACGAGATGCGCACTGCCTGGGCAAATCTGAAGCGACGCCGTCACAAGACATACGTACCATATCGCCAAGGCAGCGAACCGGCAACGTCGCGATGGACATCGGATAGTATTTTGAACCAAGGTTGATCCGAATTGGTGCGGGGATATCCAGCGCCATCCAAGATATTCGGCTTCGACGCTTCGTTGCCCCGCACCGGTCAGGATCTGTGGATAACGTATTTCAGATAGTAAATTCCGAGTTCTGACTGAAGAGGAATAGTAAGTAGATATCCAATGGTAATAGCGATCGACTGCATTTCTGCGGACTATTAGAACACTGGGACCTGTATCGGAGGAATCTTTTTGAACAGTCAAAACGCTACCGTCGACAGGGAGAACGGCTGAGACTTCGACTTGATGGACGGAATGTTCGTACACTACTGGCGCGCAAGAGCACAAGGAATTAGAGTGCTCTATATGGTCAGCAGATAGCTTGGTTACAAGAAAATGTTGTGAACCCGCGCCGCGTGGTTCTTAAAGTGCATCTCGGAGCTCAACGACTCCTCGCAGAGCGGGTGAGGACATTCCGGCTCTTTCGACCAATCGTGGTGGCGTAGATCTGCTCCTGAGGTGCTAGCGAGGTGAGCTTCAGTCCTCATCATCTAAGAGCTAGGCGGAGCTTCATTGTATACCTATGTTGATAATGTTATATTAAAATATCGAAAACTGCACGAATAAAGTGCAAGTAGTCTACCTAAGGTGTGATCTACAATGACAAATGGACAACCGCAGATGTCCAGGCAGACGGAAAGTCGAGCCCACAATTTCCAACACTACAGCCAAATTATTCCTTCTTGACCTTCTTGTTTTTGGGAACTCGAACTAGCCAGTAGAGTCCGAGAGCAGCAACGATGTTGAAGACACAGAAAACCCACATCAGGCCGAAATCCATCCACCTGTTATCGAAGCTTACGCCGAGCGCCGTGAGGAAGCTATTCGTGTCGGTAACAGGGCAGTACTGACATTCGGTGTTGTTCCCAGCATTGGGATTGAGAATAGAACCGCCCGCATTGTCGATGTACTGCGTCAGGTACTCGCCGCATGTGCGTCCGATGGGTGGCATAAAATGTATAATCTCCTCCGAGGCGCAGCGCATGGGGGCATTTGCTAACGCAGTGCCCAAGAATCCATCGACGATATATGTGAGCGGATTTACCCGGTACATGAAGATCCAGAAGCCTGGGAGTTCGTTGGGCGGGGCGATAATCCTGTCGATGGCAATCAGTAACACGTTGAGAGGAACACTTTGAACTAGGACAAACTTACCCGCAAAAAGCGTACATCATGATGAAGAGGAGGGTAACAATGACGCCTCCCAGTTCGGCACTATCAAGCCCAGCTATCACCAAATAGGTGAAGGTGCTGCTGAAGACGAGGAACATCCAGACAAGAAGACAGAGAGTGATGGCACGTGAGTGAACCGAATCTGTATAGGCAGCATTTCGGTATAGGCCAATTGGGAAGTACCAGCACACGAAGCAGAAAACTGCCATAAGCTGTGATAGGTCAGCACGCTTTAAACCGAAGTCGATGACTAGGAACTTCATACCGAATTCCAAAGGGTCTCAACAAGAATGTTCGCCACGAAAAACGCCTGCCAGGAATAGGCTTTCGACGGCCGCTCCCGAGCCTCATATAATGTTCGCTGAGATATGAACGTGGGCATGGTCTGATTGACGATTTGTGGGAAAACCATAAGGACCATCAAAACTCCGAACATTTGATTTTGAAGACCGCGGGAAGTATTTTCCGCGTTGATGAAAGAAAGACCGATGAGCAGCACCTGTGAGAATTAGCTCCAACTGATTCTGGGTAAAGTAAAACGGAAGACTTCTCACTGTTCCGATGGATAACAAGGCTTTGGAATATATGTACGAAGGACTGCGCCAATATTGCCCAAGAACCCGATTTGTTACTTCCAAGAACTGGACACTGAATGGAGCGGCAAACTCCTCAAAATCCAAGGCGTCTTTTGGTGATGGCTCAGTCTTTTTTTCAAAATTGCTCAACCTGACCAGCTCGTGTTGGACTTCCTGGTACTCGGGATTCGTACGCCACAAAGCGGGCCAGTCGATATCAGTGTGAGCCCCCGGAGCGGCTCCGATCACTTCTAACATATACTCGGCAGGGTTGGTACCGGGCAGGCAGTCAGGGGCGCCATGGCGGACGAAATAGTCGACTAAGACCTTTGAGTTTTTGCCAATCTCGCCAAAATAGACCGTTCGACCCCCGCTGGCTAATAGAAGAAGCCGATCAAATCGTTGAAACAATACAGCAGAAGGCTGGTGAATGGTGCATAAGACGGCTTGTCCGCTCCCTGTCAGCTTTTTCATCAGGCTGGAGATCGACCACGAGGTTTGACTGTCTAATCCAGAAGTAGGCTCGTCGACTTCAATAGGTTAGCTTCAAATGTTCCGTATCAGCGGCAATAACTTACGAAAAAGGAGCAAATCTGGACGAGCCGCGAGTTCAACAGCGATCGTGAGCCTCTTGCGCTGCTCTACATTGAGGCCCTCTCCAGGGACGCCGATGACAGCGTCTGCGTAGTCTTCCATGTCGAGAAGTGTGATAACCGTGTCCACATAGTCGAGCTTTTCCTGGCGGGAGTAGCGGGCCGGTTGGCGCAGAAGAGCACTGAAATTGAGTGCTTCTCGCACAGTTGAAGTGTGAAGGTGGAGATCTTGCTGCTGAACATAACCGGTCTTGCGCTGGAAAGATCGATCTCTGAGCTTTCCATCGACCAGCATGGAGCCACTGATCACCCCCATGGTAACCCGGCTAGCAAGGACATCAAGGAGTGTTGTCTTGCCCGCTCCAGAGACGCCCTGTAATCACAAAGAAGCAGATGGTTAACTGATGTTGGCAGTCCGCGATGCAGCTCCTGAACTTACCATTAAAGCAGTCAAAGTGCCAGGCTTAATCCAGCCATCTACGTGGTCCAAGATTCGTCGCTGTTCCCCCTTGATCTTTATATCGTAACAGATATTCTGCCAATGGAAAACAGATGTCTTGTCCTCCATACCGGTCACCTTTTCCGACTCACCAGGGCTGTTGAGTGACGATTTAGCGACTTCGCCAATTTCGATATCTGTAGTCATCCTCTTCGAAAGCTTTGCCAAAGCCCTGCGAGTGAAGACGAGCACCTCACCTTTAGATCGTTCTGAAGCGACGTACTCTGTGGCCACCAAATGCAAAGCGAGGAAAAATATCAGGAATGCCGCCAGAATTCCCAGGTTCCGCCATTTATGAGAGTTGACGAAGCCGAACGAAGCCTCTACGAATGCAGAGCCGTCGACGAAATCTTGACCCGGAACCGAACCTGCTGTTGAGCATGCGCGCTGCATGCCTGAAATGAATTCATAGCCGGGCCCTGAAGGAATGAAGTTCGCACATGGAAACGGACGCCCGCTGAACTCGTTGAGAAAGACGCTCTCTATCGCATAGTAGATCGGATTCAGCCATCGGGTCCATCCAATCCAGCCCAGCATGTATTTTGGGGGAATCGCGAACCCAGAATATAAGACAATGATGAGGAGGATAATTGACGCCGGTCCCATAGCCTGAGACATCGACTTCGTGACGGATCCGATGAACCGAAACATCATCGACATCATTATCACTGTGACGATGGAGAAAAGGTAAAAAAAGAAGAAGGGACCAGGCTCGCGTCGCAGATTGCCCATGAAGTATAAGGCCATATTGACAATGGTGGCGTTAACGATCTTATAGGGCAAATCCACCACCATGGCTGATAGAGCTTCGGCGCTGGGATGATAGAGGGCATATCGGGAGTGTTTTTCAACAACTCTACGTTTCGCGTAGAGCGTCATAATTTCGAGGATGCTGCCGAAGGCATTCAAAAGAACAACCATGAAGAGCAAGATGCACCGCCCGAAAAATCCGGTCGTGTCTGCTGGGACGTTGTAAAGGACACTGCTGAGAATCAATCCCTCGAAGATATTGAGAATCAGCATGGCGACAGTGACACTTGGGTCGGACTTGAGGAGCGTCCAAGAGCGCCACATGGTGAGAGCTGCCTGCTCGAGGTATGACAGAGTGAACGGCGACTTCTCACGCTGCGAATCGGATTGGTCGATCTTGCGAGACTCGAGGAACTTCTGGTAGTGGTCTCCGCCGAACGGGTGGCGCCGGTTGTAATCTTCGATTTCGATCATCAGGCGAGCGCGGTGCTGACTGTTTTTCCAAGCTTGAGCAAACTCCTCAGAACTCCTTGGAGTCCGACTTTCCCAGCCCGGCTTGATAATTCGCTCGGATGCGTTGGTCATTGAGGTGAGGAAGTCGGCAGTAGTTTGTTGCTCAGGGCAAACGAAGCCCAGTTCTTCAAAGTAGGATTTGGCTTCAGAGGTCTTGCCAAAGAATATCTGTCTGCCTTCGTACAGAACGATCACTTTGTGAAAAAGCTTTGATATGGTTAGAATCTCTCAAAATCGTTTTCTAAAGGGAGGAGCTTACTTCATAAGCGGCTTGTGGTGCTTGATACAAGGCCACACACGACGTGCTGCCCATGATATCGGCCTGTGTCCTCAGAGCGCGGCAGAACTCAATTGCATTTGCAGAGTCAAGACCTCTAGTACTGTTATCCCAACATTGGAGAGGAGAATAACTCAACGCCGCCTCCGCAATGGTCACACGTTTCCTTTCACCACCGCTAACTCCTCGGATGTACTGGTCTCCTACTCGGGTGTTCTTGGTGTGAGAAATACCGAACATTGCCATGATCACGTCGCGAAGATGCTCAGCATACTCGACTCGAGAGATATCTTCCGGGATATTCTTGGGGCACCGGGCTCGAGCAGCAAAGTAGAGAGTATCCCCGACGGTCAGGTGCGGAAAGTGATCATCCACCTCGGCGGTGTATATGGCCTCCCCCCGGAATGCCGTGCGCATCTTCTTCGGGGGAATGCCCGAATAGTTGATGTTGGCGTCGACGTGAAATCCATACGTGTCGCCAGCAATGGTCCGTAGAAGCGTTGAGCATCCCGACCCGGGCGGTCCGAGAACAGCGAACATTTCGCCACTATGAACCACGCCATCCAAGTCACGGAGTATGTCAATGCGCTGCTGCTCCTTGCAAAAAAGCTTGTTGAATACGTTCACCCCGTCGAGGAACACATTGCCAACACTCTTCTGGAAACCGGTGGCAGACCCAAAGCCGTAAGCGTTGAGATTGGTCCATGAAATGCCCGTGGTCCGTGGTGGGTTGCCTCCAGAGGTGCTGGTGCGAAGGTCGAAGAAGGATTTTGCCCAAAGTCTGGCGCTGAATAGGGAACCGTTGGGGTCGAGTGGTGAATTTTGTTGCACTGGGAACAAACTGCTGGAAGCCGAGTGAGACATGTTTGTCAAGCTCCGAACGAGTTCAGAGACCTCCTTGTTCATACGCAGTTCTTGGTCTAGAGCACCGTCGTGTTTGTTGCAATCATTTTCTATGATAGATGTTGTTGTCGTAGACTCGGATGGAGCTGCTTTTGGATGGCGTTGGTCCTCCATAGCCCATGCAAGAAAGAAGAATCAGTTGTAAACGAGTGTCGATTAATTCAATAAGAAGAGTAAAGCTGCTATCTAAAGCGCCTTGAAGAACTCGAATAAACTTCAATTCAAATAGAAAATGACGATTGAATTACAAAAAAGACAGATATAAGTACACCGGAGTCATGTCAATCCTGTGGCTCTGCCTTCTCCCATGCGGATCGAAGATATGCTTCTACAATGCGAAGACGCCTTTGCCAAGGGTAATAGTCCATAATTCTAGCATTCGGAGAGAGGATTTGGCAGATACGGATTCCGCGGCTGTGCTGGCCAAGGGCAAATCTAAGGGCGACATAAGGAGTAGCCAAGACTGCGCGGAGGTATCTGCGGAGGCATGAGATTTCAACATGTCGGAACGCGGATTCCGCGGAATGCTGTTCACCACTGTCTCCGCTAATCCTGAATTCTCTGCATTCGATGGTTGGAGCGGTGACGACTGTTCAAGCAGCCACGATGACACAGCATCACAAGCTATTTGCATAGAAAGACATACGACCATTTCAAGTTGGGCTGATTGAAGAAAAAGAAGAAGAAGAAGAAGGAGAAGAAGGAGAAGAAGCGGAGAGATTCTCGATTCAGTTGGCAATTGGTAAGACTTAGGAGTAGGAGAGGTTTCGTATTGTGGCGCATACCATCCCCAGGCCAGCATCCTGTGGCGCAGCATACCTTCACCAGTCCACCCTCACTGCAGGCTGTCAGGACAGTACCCATCTGGACATCATCAAACAGACCACTGCAGATATCAGACTTCAATTCTGTTCTGTAATGGGTTCAACCCTCGACACAGGCGTTGCTTGAAGAAAACAGGATGTTTGTACGGAGTAGGTTCAAATGGACAACACCGGCAAGGACGTGGAGCTTCATTGGTCCAGGATATCTGACCGTAGTGCTTGAAGGCTTGAAGCGGATTCACTGGTATTACAACTGCTAATATTTGGGGCAGAAACCGCAGCTTGCTGTTGAATCCTCCTTTTGAATCCTCCTTATCGCTACCGAGTTTGATATCGGTCTGTAACGAGTGGACTTATGATCGGAGCCGAGTAGGCGAGCACAGAGTCGGGAGATTGTTCCCTTGCAACTTGCTCATGCATTTTCATCCCACTTGCGGACGACCCCGCCGGATCGGTTGGGATGCCCTGTCCCATCACCCGCTAACTTTAGCATGGAGGTGATCGTTTCTTTGCTCGGTCCAATCGTCTTCCCGTCGCGTTGCCCAGGGCGCTAAAACGACGTGCCTGGCATCAGCCGTCACACGGAGTCAAGCCAATCAGCGGGCCGAGTCGAATCGTCAATATCACTCTCCCCTCAATTCTTCACCATCCTTGTAACCGCTCGACGTCTCGACGCTGACTGGATCAATGGGATTGGCGATATGCACAGGAACACTACCAGTTTTCGTCGCCAGCAGGTCGGATGCTGTGTACGCCTCGAGGCCCATTGGCCGGCCACTTTGCGGCTTACCATGCTCGTCAAGAGGAACATTGGCTCGCATGACATGACTTTCGTACCGGAGCCCATCACATCTCTCGCATGATTTGCATTTTGGACAAGTCAAGATCGCCGCCCTCTGATATACGTGACACTTGCCCGTTCCATCGAACTCCTGTCTCCACAGGATGAGTTCGACCTCCAGCATATTAATCCCCCTCCGCGACAAGCTGTAACTCCCACAGCTTCAGCAACGATGCTCCTCTCACTACCGGGCAATCCTGCTCATCTCCTCACTGTGATTCTCTGTTTCTACTGTACCACAGCAGCCGCCCGACCCGGACTTTCGCCACAATCGCAGTTGGATATCGCAGATGTGAAGAAACGAGGATTATTGGAACCACCCGCACATCCAGTGGAGAAGTCGATATTGCCCGCGCAAATCTGCGGCATTATCGGCGCATATTGCGTCTCAGTTGTCGTGGTCGGATTCTTGATCCTCGTTATCGGCCGACCCAAGAGACAGAGGGCCATGGCTGGCGACCCGGCACCTGAAATAGAAATGACCAAGTCCCCGGCACAGGCATTCGATCCGTCGCCGGTATCGCCTACAAGCACCTCCCGATCGTGGATCAAGGGCAAGCTCAACCTCACCCACAGCATGAAAAAGAGCGTGACCAGCTTGACCTCTCGAGGCGGCAGCACTGCACCGAACAGTCGGGCTACCAGTCAACCGAATAGTCCCGGCTTTGCCTCATTTGACGAGAACATCATCCAGCGCGACAGAGAGGATCGGCAAAAGGAGATGGATAGACTCTATGCAGCGGTCATGGAGCATGACGCGAAGAAAGCGTCGCAGAGCGAAATATTCGCTATCGAGGATGAGGACGAAATCCAACAGACACACCCTGAAGACGTACCATGCAATCCACAAGATAAACGCATTCTTCGCGTCAAGACGGACGCCGAACGACTCGACATCCCCGGCCCACATAGCCCATCAAGTCCACGGAGCCCCATCCGCGCCATATATCCTCCGGATAGCGAGGGTCCCAGCGGCCCGAGGAGTCCCACCTCCCCAATCCGAGCCGGAGCCGGATTCCATCAAGATCACCAACATCGACAACAAGCCTTCCTCGCCAACCCTCCGACACAAACCGGCCCGCCGCCAACATCACCGAAGCGGAACCTTCTCCGCCGGGAAAGTCGAACATCTTCCATGGGCTCTACAGCCAGCACAAGTAAGACGCGGAAAGCGCTCCGGAATCTTCGCATTAGTGCTCCCATTCGCAAGGAGGATGGCAGCGAGGACGAGCGCGCCCCACTATCCCCACGCTTCTACAACCCTGGGCCGCCACCGGAACCTCCGTCAAACCCAAATACACCGCACACATCGCAGACTTTCGCCAGCCAGGGCACCATGGAGTCCCCTCCCCTTCCTTCCGGCATACCGCAGCCTCAGCCCCAGCCTCAACCCCAAGTCGAGGACTACGCCGATGAGGAGCTCGACCAACCCGCACCCCTTCCCAACCCCGCCCCCCACCGCGGACCCTACATGCACTCCCCTGACCCCGCCGCCCCCCGCCCCTTCAACAACTCCAAATCCGCCTCCACCTCCAGCGGCGCGCTCCCTCTCCGCGCCATGGGCGGCGACTCCTTCGCCCCCGAAGCCACCAAGACGACGTACGTGGAGCGGAAGCGCGATCGGCTAATGCAAGGGATCCCACGGACGGTGCGCACGCCCAATACGGCGGGGGTGCCGCATACGCCGTATAGTCCGTACATGCCGTTCACGCCGATTACGCCGGTGACGCCGCATTTGGTGGGGCAGCGGGAGCGGAAGGAGAAGAAGAAGTGGGAGAAGAAGGTGTATGGGAGTCCGACGGCGGAGCTGGTGAAGAGCCCGGCGGAGATTTGGGATGATGGGTATTAGGTTTCATGGGGGATTGACGGGGGATTTCGTTTGGGGGATTTTGGGGATACAATTCTTAAAGGGATTATGGGAGTATTGAGAAATGGCTGATGATGATCTTTCTTACCAAGGCAGGTAGGGATACCTTGCATTGTAATATTTTTATATTTTCTTGTATAGCAGCGAGTTGTGGTTTGATCCTTTGTGCAGGACGACAGCATCACTCCTTAGTCCTTGCTTAGGATTGGTAGACGTACAAAGAAACATGGTCAATATAGTATGCAAATAGTAGAGATCGAAATGATGTGCCAAGTAACATGTGACATATTAAGATACTGTTTGGATTTTCAAGTTCCAACACAAGGTTTAGTGATTGAAATACCGCAACTCGAGCATTGGTTGTGTATTGTTCTCCTAATAGTTGTTTTTCTCCTGGATGATTAAAAGTTCTTTTCTTCACAACCAGATTATTTCATCTGCTTTATTGCCTCAGGCATTCACAGGCGTTATCTCACGTGACCACCACCCACCCAAAATTTCTTTGTGGACTCCCATCAACGCGAAACTCCAAAGCCTCTAAAAAAACCTTTGGCCTTGCCTCTTCGCATCCACGCTTTTCAGTCTGAGTTTCTTTCAAAGAGCCTCATTCTTGTCTTTCTTCTCTTCACTAAATCTCGGATCTGAAGCCCAAAAAAAATTGAAAATCCTGAAAATCCCGTCGAATTCCACGACAACACTCCATCTCCATCTCCCATCACAGTCTCACCCGTTGAACTGTCCTCCCTTCCCTTTCAGTCGCACCACCTGGTCTAGCTTCGAAAGGTTTATCTGAACTCCGTTCATAGCACCGTGAGTATTGCCTCTTTTGGTCTTGGAAATGTGCCCGGTTGTGTCGCTGACATCACGTTCTGCAGCTTCGTTTCTCCAACTCTCACTCTTTGTCTCACCTAATCTCAAAGACACACAACTTCACAAGCGTATGTTTGAACGTGGCAGCTGCGAGATACGGCAGTGGATCGCGCCAGCCCAACTCCCTCACAAGAAGCTGATAATCTCTCAGATCATGTCTGCCGAAGCCGCGACTGCCACTTCCCCGGCTCCCAATGCCGCTCCCACCGCCGATGCTGGTGATGTGAACGGCACCAGCGTCAACACCAACGTTGCTGGTGCTGCTCCCGCCGATCTTTCCACGCCGACCTCCGCGACAGTTTCCACCACCGCGCACCCCAACAGCGCTTCGCTTTATGTTGGCGAGCTCGACCCGTCCGTCACTGAGGCAATGTTGTTTGAGCTGTTTTCCCAAATCGGCCAGGTTGCGTCCATCCGTGTTTGTCGTGACGCCGTTACCCGACGCTCCCTTGGCTACGCGTACGTCAACTACAATTCCTCCGACGACGGTGAGAAGGCTCTTGAAGAACTCAATTATACCGTTATTAAGGGACGACCCTGCCGCATCATGTGGTCTCAGCGTGATCCCGCCCTCCGCAAGACCGGCCAGGGTAACGTCTTCATCAAGAACTTGGACACCGCTATCGATAACAAGGCGCTGCATGATACCTTTGCTGCGTTCGGAAACATTCTCAGCTGCAAGGTCGCTCAGGATGAGATGGGCAACTCCAAGGGATACGGATTCGTTCACTACGAGACGGCTGAGGCGGCCAACAATGCCATCAAGCACGTCAACGGCATGCTTCTCAACGAGAAGAAGGTCTACGTTGGTCATCATATCCCCAAGAAGGAGCGCATGAGCAAGTTCGAGGAGATGAAGGCCAACTTCACCAACATCTACGTCAAGAATGTCGACCAGGACGCCACTGACAAGGAGTTCGCCGATCTCTTTGAGAAGTACGGCCAGATCACCTCTGCGTCCCTCGCTCGCGATGATGCCGGCAAGAGCCGCGGCTTTGGCTTCGTCAACTACGCCAGACACGAGGATGCCTCCACTGCTGTCGAGGCCCTGAACGACTCCGACTTCAAGGGCCAGAAGCTATACGTCGGCCGTGCGCAGAAGAAGCATGAACGTGAGGAAGAACTCCGCAAGCAATACGAGGCTGCTCGTCTCGAGAAGCAGTCCAAGTACCAGGGCGTCAACCTCTACGTCAAGAACCTCGACGACGATGTCGACGACGAGAAGCTGCGGGACATGTTCACTCCTTTCGGCACCATCACCAGCGCCAAGGTGATGCGTGATACCACCCCTGCTGGCAGCGAAGATGCTGCCGCTAAGGATGAGGAGACCAAGGACGAGGCTGACAAGGAAGACAAGGAAGACAAGGAAGACAAGGAAGACAAGGAGGAGAAAGAAGAGAAGGCGGAGAAGGAGGACAAAGAGGTCAAGGAGGTCAAGGAGGCCAAGGAGAAGAAGGACGACAAAGAGGAGAAGAAGGACTCCGAAGGCGAGGACAAAGAGACCAAAAAGGACACCAAGGAATCCGACAAGGTCACCATCAAGGGTGAGAAGCGCGTCCTGGGCAAGAGCAAGGGCTTCGGCTTCGTCTGCTTCTCGAATCCGGATGAGGCGACCAAGGCCGTTTCGGAGATGAACCAGAAGATGGCCAATGGAAAGCCGTTGTATGTCGCATTGGCGCAGAGGAAGGATGTGAGGAAGAGCCAGGTGAGTTTATTCCCCGTCTTAATAATTTTATACATGGAATCGAAATTCGCTAACACTTTGGGCAGCTCGAGGCTACTATCCAAGCTCGCAACCAGATCCGCATGCAACAAGCTGCTGCTGCCGCAGGCATGCCCAACCAGGTACGTTTTGCAAAGACCTCTTTGTTAACCATCGCTAACTCCCACAGGCCTTCATGCAACCCCAGATGTTCTTCGGCCCTGGCCAACAACCCTTCATGCCTCCCGGTGCCCGTGGCCAAGGCATGCCCTTCCCGGGTATGCCCCAAGCCGGCCGCGGTGGATTCCCCGGCGGCATGCCACCCCAGCAAGGCGGACGTGGTGCCCCGAACGCTCAGCAGGCTCCCCCCATGTACGGCATGCCCCCCAACATGCCTCCGGGTGCCTATCCCCCTGGTGGCTTCAACCCCGCCTACATGCAACTCGCCCAACAAGCTGTCCAGGCGCAGATGGGCCGTGGCCGTGGTGCCGCCCCCATGGGAATGCAGATGCCTCCCCAGATGCAGGGCGGGCCCGGTGCCGCGCGTGGCCAAGGATTCCCAGCGCAAGGTGCCCAGGCCGGTCGTGGAATGGGCGGGATGCCGCGTGGAGGGGGACAGATGGGTTCGTATCCCCAGGGTGGCCGTGGTGGACCGGGAGCCCAGCCCGCACAAGGTGGTGCCCCGATGGATATTGCGACCCTGAACGCGATGCCGGCGCAGCAGCAGAAGCAGCTGTTGGGAGAGATGCTCTATCCCCGGATTGAGAAGCAACAGCCGGAGTTGGCCGGGAAGATCACGGGCATGTTGTTGGAGATGGAGAATGCGGAGTTGTTGAACCTCACCACCGATGAGTCTGCCCTCAACGCCAAGGTCCTAGAAGCGCTCGCTGTCTACAATGAATACGTCAAGGACAAGGGTGAGCCGGAGCCGGAGAAGAGTAAGCAGCAGGAGAATGGCACGGAGGAAGAGAAGAAGGCCTAATCACGCCACCCCTTCTGCATTGTTACGACCATCTCCTTCAACAACCCGACCTTCTCGTCACAGCACAAGTGGTCAAACTTCTCTTGCTAACGGGCCTCTCCTTCCTTTTCTTTTGTACAGAACGCACCGACACCTTCGTCCCGGTGTCCGCGCCCAAGAACACCCTCGAACGCGCTGTCGGCTCCGTTCAAGTCGCTTCCTAAGTCCGTTGCCCGTTATACCCGGCGTTTAGGTTGGTCGAACCGGATGGCGGCGTTCTCGCGTCTTCATGTCGTGGATTCGACCGAAAAGTTCTGTAGGGTTTGACACGACGGTTCTTTTCTTTCGTTCTTTTCCCGGGTTCCGATCCGACGGTCCTGGGTTGGTTGGACCGTGTTTCCATTTCGTTTTCATGGCTGCTGGCTGGGCTCCTCGCCGAGGACCTGATCGCCGCGGTATTTGTTGATTGATATTCTCATACCCCCATTTTCCCATTCACTGGTTCCTCACCCCTTGATTCATCCACACTCCCTTGTTCCTAGCTTTCTTAGCTATAATAGACTTCCCATCACCCTCTTCTCTTTCCGGTCGTTCCCTGCACATCTCGCCGCAGCAGATTACGAGAAGAGGCACGAGTCACTGGATAGTGGAGGATCACCGGGGAGGCATGCGGAGGGAATTGAAGATTGCAGGATGATGAAGGTGCGGATGGCTGACGAGAGGAGGGAAAGAGAAGAGGGTATTTTTCCAATCTGTATATTAGGCGGAACTATGGTTATTATGTCTGTAGTGCAGCGTGAATGGAATACGGAATTTGATACTTCGTGGTACTTTGTCGTAAGCGTGAATTAGCTTGTGCTTGTTCATCCGTTCCATAATCTGGAGCTCCATAATCTGGAGTTCCATAATCTGGAGTTCCATTGGCGGATGTCAATCAACGCACAGCGGTGATCCTGTCGGGCCTGTGAATCATTTAGAGAGATCCACTTTATGATTATTCCCTACATAATAATTATGGTCCCTTTCAAATGAACAAGCGAGAGGGAACCGAATCCTCACTTCCCCACAAACTTGATACCGCAAGACATAACGACATCCAGAATCCGCTCTAGTTGGTACAGTCCCTGAACTACCTCGAGGATTCTGGCCAATCTCAACTCGAATTGCCCTTCTTTGGTTAGCGAAACGTAGGTTTACTAGGGAGTATCAGAATCCTTCTTTAATTGGTGTTTTTCAACAGATCAAGTTTATCCAGTTTCTGGATGTCGTCAAGTCTTGCGGGTATTGTCAGCACTTCTGCTGGTTTGGGCCGAACTTGAAGTAATATCATAGAGTTGATATTCCCATTGCTGCGATCTGTCTTGGCTGTAGCCTGTAAGTCATTACGTATGTTAAGTTGGAATCGCCGTTGGATACCGCCTCCTTTTTGAATTGGAACCATGATTGGGCTCCAGTCGGGAAGCTACCCGTTTCTCACACCTGTTCTCATTAATTTGTCTTGGTATTCTTGCCTGGTATCATCGCCCAAGTCTGATTCCTTGATGGCATGGTAATCTCAGTGTTGATGATTGGCTCTGAAGGCGTACCAAGAGCCTGCAACACAGCCTCTCAAGGTCGACATCATTTCTCTCTCCGCGCTATGTGTTCGAAAACATTCACATCACCGATCAACTAGAAGGATCTCCTTTTTTGTGTCTTCCTTTCCAAGTTTCCCAGCGCTGTGAGGATCTGTTTGTCGCGAACAAGATGGGTCGCCGTCCTCGCACCGAAAACGTACACCTCCGGTCAAGCAAGCATAACTATCTCCAGAAAACCGTTCAAAAGCGATATGACTTAAGATGCCTGTCAGGGACTGTATCAGAGGTCAAGGTATGGCATAGTCTTATGGATAAGCCTATCAAGACAGGTTGAGGTCGAGACCTAACTCTCGTCAGACGAGCCGGCCATGCAGAGTCTGCCGTCTCATTGTCGAGTTCCTGATTGACGAATCGAAATACATCATAGCGATTGGGACATCTGAGTCATTATGGTCTACATATTGCCAAACACATACTCCAATACTTACTACCCTTGGCCAGGAAAAGGATTTTTGGCGCAATGCTGGGGCTCATTCGCTATACCTTTTGAAGTCTCGCGGCTTGATCCTGTTAACATCAAGTGCTGTTATCCAGCCCCTTTTTGACATTCCAACAGCGGCATTTCATTTGATACGGCATGACCATCCGCTTCGCAGTGCCACAGTGTTCGACCCAAAATGGATTGAATCTGGGTTACTCAGGAAATGGAAACTGCACTGCGATAAGTCCCATCAGAGACGTGGACAGCGATGCCACATCTCGCCCGCTGCGAGATACCCACCACCTGTTAAGCCGGAATATCTGGTTGATACTTGGTTGGGTTATATAACTCTGGCACAAACGCTTGCTCCCGCCGACGTCGACTACGTGACGCTGAGTTATGTCTGGGGACCAGTCCAACCGTATACAACGTTGAAGAAAAATCTGCACATGCTACAAACTCCGGGTTCTTTGGCAAATCCACTGGTGCTGTCGAAACTTGCGAACACGGTAAAAGACGCCATTGCGCTCTCGGCGCTGCCCAAGGAACGATACCTGTGGATTGACACGTTCTGCATTGTACAAGACGATGACAATATGAGACACCGTCAGATAAACCACATGTCTTCCATCTTCGCGAATTCCCATTTAACCATTGTTGCTGAGGATGGCGACAATGCAAATTATGGACTGAGAGGGTTACAAGGAGTATCGAAACCAAGAGAATTCAAACAAGATCTCCACCGTCTGACATCGCAGGTCAAGCTACTGGCACGGTCTGGTTCCTATGACCAGCCGTCAGTGTGGAGCAAAAGAGGATGGACCTTCCAGGAAGAACTCTTTTCTCCGAGAAAATTAAGATTCTATAACCAGGTGGCTCGATGGGAGTGTCCCCATTCATTTTGGAGCGAATATAATTGGCAAAGCGTGAGCCAAGGCGGTACCATCTCCAGCGCTATCCCTGGGACCGACGAACCGGAATCCATTGAGGTCTTCTCTGTTCCATTTGCTTCTCTTTCTGGATATTTGAAGCTTCTTGGGCGGTACAACGACCGGGATCTATCTTATCAGAAGGATTCGCTCTTTGCATTTGCTGGGATAACGACCGCGTTGAGTCGTGTCTTTCCGGGCGGTTTCATTTCAGGGATCCCCCAAATGTTTTTCGATATTGCTCTTCTATGGCAACCGATTGGAGACGCGAAACGGAGAACACCAAATCGTACCAGTGGAAGCAAGTCTTTGCTTCCTAGCTGGTCTTGGGCTGGATGGCAATGTAAAGTGGATTATAGAAGCTGCGATCCCGCATTCAGCTACTTCAAAAGTTCAAAATTCGGGGAGGAGGCCATATAGGGTGCACGAAGCATCCACAGCTTTGTCCCGCTTCTGCAATGGAGTGTTCGCGAAGACTTGGCGGCGCCATGTCATAGACTCGAGATCTTCTGGCAAAAGCATATCGCAGCTTGCTGGGATATACATTTCCCCCTGCCGCCCGGGTGGTCTCGTCATTTAGACAAGAACCTTAAGACATGGACCAAGCCTCCATTCGACAACCCAAGGCAAAGGATCTACTTCCAGAATGCCTCAATTCCGGATGCTGAATTCTGGTTCCCGATCCCAACGGAAAATCAAGGAAGAACCTTGACCTTCCAGGGCAATGCTCGGCTCTTGTCCTGCCGTACCCAACGGGCATGGTTTTCAAGCGGTCGATTAATCAGAACCGGCTCAACCCGTACTCACGCTGGAAATTGTATTACCTTGCATGATCAGAGTGATGTGATATCTGGTGTTCTGTTTCCATGTTCTGAAGAACACCGAATGATGGCAGCACGCACCTCGATTGAGCTTATCATGCTGGCTAGGGGGATCCTGAAGGATCCTGAGACCCCCGACAAACATTTCGTGGACCACGGAGTCGATCCTTCATTGCAAAACCAAGAGTTCTTTGAGTATTATCATGTCATGTGGATCGAGTGGGAGGACGGGATCGCATATCGAAAAGCGCTTGGCCGTATTGACAGGAAGGCTTGGGAACAGCAACCTAGAGAGTGGATCGATGTCACTCTCGGATAAATATATGTATACGGTAATATGGCATGGAATCGAAGAATGTTCTCCTGCGGAGGTGAGACTATTGTCATCTCAGAATGCCATGTCCTCGGACAATTCTCGCATAGATGAGTTTGACTGAAAGCACTGAAGAGACAATGCTCCAGAACGGAGGATGGTCGAAGCTAGGCTAAGAGACACACGACCTCAAATACTATACTACTTAGATTTTTCTATATCACGGATTTGAATGGGCGTCCCAAATTTCTTAGAAGGCGAATTTGTCAATGGTGTTCTGTCATAGCGACAGGTTATATATTCCAACCATGGTTCTGGACGACGCACCGAAAGCACCTGATGTCTTCGCGAAAGGGACAACTGGTATCCAAGCATAGCGGACTTCAATAAATAAATATACGTGTCGAAAAGCTATTTATAAGGCTCCAACGGATATCGTCCAGCACTGAACAAGAGGGTATCATAAACTTCGTCAAGACGTACACTCCAAATCGATTCATAGATCGCTCTAAACATCCAAGAAGAACCTTTTCGACCCGCTCAATCAAACGCTTCAATCCCTCAACCCATCCTCCCATCCACCAGTCTCCCCCAAATACCGCTCCACCCGCCCCCGACACTCCCTCAACCTCGCTCCCAACGCCTCCCTCCACTGCCCCTCCACAACATCCACCTTCTCCTTCAAATCCACGGTCAACGTCCCCTCCTCCGCCTTCCGAATCATGCTCATCTCCTGCTCCACTTCCTCCTTCCGCTCCCCCTCCATCACCCGCGCCGTCTCTACCAACTTACTCTCCGCCAACATCACCGCCGTCTTCACCTCGTGCAGCAAGCACAGCAGGTTCGTTTGGCTCTCGATGAACTGGTACGCCGACTTCTCCGCGTGCAGCAGCACCGTGTACAGGTACTGTAGCGGATGATGGTCGTAGGCTTCATTCTCCGCGTATTCCTGCGGCGGGACTAGCACCTCGAACCCGCGCAGCCCCTCCTGCGTGCTCGGGACTTTCTGCACGATTGCCAGCAGGCCCGGCGCGATGTCCCAGAAGGCGCTGAGCTGCACCTCCACGCCGCGCGTCACGTTCTCCTCCACCACCGCCATGAACTCCTCGAGGCGCTTGACGGACGCTTTCTCGAACGCGACCTTCCGATCCGCCGCATCCTGCCGGAAGAAATGCTCGACCTCGCGCACCTTCTCGTTGTTCTGCGCGAGCACGTACGGGGTTACCACGACGGGTTTGTACAGCTCGTTATGCTGTCCCTCCAGCATGAACAGCTCGCGATGCAGCGCCTCCCGCGCCTCGAACAGCCACTTCAGCAACGTCAGCTTCTCCAACAACTCCGGCCGCTCGTCGCCCTCTTCCTGCGGCTGGTTCGGCGACCGGCTCTGAGCGTCGTTGAACAGCCCCGACCGCAGATGCTCGATGCTCGCCGCCGCCTTGGTGATCCGCTCCTTGAGTAACGCCTCTAGCGGCTTCATCACCGCATTCTGATGCGCCGCAAAGTCCTCCTTCGCCGCATCCCGCACCACCTGCCCCTCCGTCGACTCGAAGTTCGCCTCCGCCCCCGCCGCATCCGAATACGTCATGATCTGCGACGCCAGCTGCGTCTCGATGTTGCGGCGGAGTGACTTCCGCCGCTCCAGCGCGTCGTGGTTCCGCTGTTCACGGACCTGCGCCCGCTCGAGTTGGAACTTCTCCTCCACCTGATGGATGTCGTCCATGTCCGCCAAGGTGCGGTAAATCGTCCGTATCGGCGCTAGGTCTGGATGGTTGTTGTTCACCGCTGGATGATGACGCGGATACGGCGGCGGCAGAGTCACTAGCCGCGATACGTCTAGTTTATGCGGATCCGGCGTCGCCGGCGCTGAATGCGACCAATATGTCTGATTTGAATTGCTCGCCCCGGCCAATGGCAACGTCTCATGCCACCCGACCTTCTCCGGCGGGTACTCATTCGGCCCATATTCTGCAACCGGCTGCTTATTCGCCATCGCCACAGCCGGCGGTCCCGCCTGCAACGATGCCTCCGAGCTCGGCTCCACGGCGGAGCCCCACTGCAGCTCCTCCCGCGCCTCCCGCGGGACGCCCATGTATTTGCTCTCGCGCTTCGACCGCTCAATGCGCGGGCCAGCCGGCCCCTGGGAGGAGGAAGATTCCCACCACCTGCTCGCGGTGCGGCCGCGGGAGTCCTCCTCGTCGGGCCCGTTGCTCTGGGCGGGCATGCTTGGGATGGGCGAAAGGGAAGGATGATATTCACCCCAGAAGCGCGAATCGCGCACGCCGCCGGATGATGGGAGGCTGCCCGGGGACTCTCCGTCGGTCAGCGGGGTAGCGTTGGCACTGGACATGCCGGGGCTGGTCATGCTGCCGGCGAATGTGTCGACGGAGGACTCGGTGACGGTGCTTTGGGGCTTGTTAGCGGATTCGGCGGCGTGTGGGGTGGCGGTCGGGGTGGGCATGGCTTTGCCGTAGGAGCGCCAGAGATCGCGGGTCAGGTCGAGCACTTCGCCTGCCATGCCGTCGAAGGCGGTGGCGTATCGGTCCCGACGGAGCCGGGATTCGGTGACGATGAAGTCGGCGAAGAGCTGGATACGGTCGCGGTCGGTTTTGGCGAGGCTTTCGCGGCGGATGAATTCTTTATGGCGATTGAGGGCGGAGCGGATGAAGTCGGACTCGTCGACATTGCGTGGAGATATGGTGGAGTTGGTGGAATTGAGCCCTGATGGGATGAGCGGGTCCATGTTGAGATTCTCGTCGTTAGGGGAGTGAAGAATGTGAGAGACGGGTCTAGAACCGCTATGTGGCATTACCAGCGCGGCCAGCCCTGGGCGGGAGCCATGAGGTTCTTTAGGCGGAAGAGCAGGCCCACTTGATTCATCAGGTTTCGAGTCTTGTCCGACACTAGACCGGCGCGGTCCTTCTGGCATATATGTTCGTCCCAGTTTCGGGGACGGTAACTTCACGTTTCGGCGTCTCGACAAGCTAAACGATGAGGGTTGTGTCAAAACAAGATCGGCCGGCATATTCGATGAAACCGCGGCGGAGGTCGATCCTTCCATGTCCGCTGCCCACGGGTTATTGCTGATGGGAGACTCAGCATCACGACTCCGCTCCTTCGCCGCTCTTGACTCGCTTCTCCTCTCTCTAATGCCTCGCGTGGCCCCGGTTCGATTCAGACTCCCCGACCTTGATGACGGGCCGGGATCGCCTCCCACATGGATCTCCGTTTGCGGACTGTGGTCGAATTCGCTCCGCGGCGTCTGCCCCTGCTCTCCGAAGCCGGCAGCACCCGACCCAGGCGTCTCCGACTGTCCGTCCACCCACCCAGCCGGGGTCGGCGGTATCGGGTCGAGCGTGGAAACGATTTTCGGCGGTCGTCGGGGCGCGGGTGTCTTCAACCGGATTACGTCACGAGTGGAGTATTCGGTGATGCGGTCCATGCTCATGGAGCGAGATGTGCTGGGCGGTGGTCCTGGGGGCGGTGGTGGGAGCGGCATGCCGGGCCCCCAGGCGGATGATACGGAGACATTTGATGGCGAGTCGGTCCCGCGTTGGCGAGTGTCGGTGCCGTGGGCGGGGATACAGCCGGTTGAAGCGGCACGACGGGCGGCAGGTGGATGAGCGTCGAACGGGACATCATCGGGGCTGGAGATGGGTTAGGTGATCAGTCAGGTACCATGTCGGAAATTAGACATACTGCTGGTAGGGGAGTGGCGTTGCACTTGGGCCTGATGTTCTTGAGACCGCATCTGTAGTATGCTGCCGTAGCGCATCGATAGCACCCAAGCTCGGCTGTGCATCCTCCTTCCGATTTCGTGATGTCAATGCAGATAACGAGAACTTATGCTTGTCCCGATTTCTCGACGTTGACCGATCTCGAGGCGTCGTGCCTGGTGGAGGTGGGAACGCTGGCCCTGATGTCGAGCTTGGTGAGTTCCTTGCGACCATATGAAGTGAGGAACGGTTGGGTTCAGGTGGAGAAACTACCGTGGAGTTTCTTGATGAAGAGCTGTAGGATGACGCCGGGAAGACGCTGGAAATCGGTCGGTTGGAAGATCCAGCTGGGCTGTATGGAGGAGGTGGTGATGGCAGACTGGCTAGTTGAGCAATGTCGGTCAGTATCTCGACTCAGTATCGTAGTTCTTCTCTCCACAGCCCACGTCGTAACCCGACTTCAACATGCACAAACATAATATCCGAACATACCTTCCATTCCTGTGACTTCACTCGTCCTCCGCCTCCCACTCGCACTCGCACTCGAACTCCCCCGATGCGGTACATACCCTCCATGGCCCATCACCGCCGGCCCATTCCCACTCCCACTCGCACTCCCACTCCCCCCACCGCTCCCCCTCGCCCATTCCTGCGGATTATACGCCTGCAGAACATTTGCGGCCGGCCTCATCGCCATGGGCGAGTTCCCTCTCGACGCAGCTGACGGAACGGCCGATGTAGGGGGCGGAGCGACCGCATACGGGGAGAACGGGGTAATTAAGCTGGTGGCGGAGATGGGGGTCTGGGACGGTGCGGGCGAGAGCGGGTGGAGGTGATGGGGGAGATGTTGGTGATATTGGAGGACGGTCGGGGTGTGCAGGGAGGTGGTGGTCGAGATGGCCGAAGAGGGGATGGGGCTGGCTGGAGGGGGGCCGGGAAGGGAGGTGGTCGTGATGGTTGGGAGACGGGGTGGTGGATTGAGGCGGCGGGGACTGGTGTTGGTGGAGGGAGGATGGGTTGGTGGTCCGGGTGGTGGAGGCGCGATGGTCGAGGAAGGGGAGTAATTGGAGGTGATATTGGACGGATTGGGCGAAGCAATGTGACTGTTGCTCGTCCAGGCGGCGAAGGTTGGAGTTGTCGCGGACCGGTATGCGGAATGAGGAGAGTTCGAGGTCGAGCGATGTTCATGCGCGCCCGTCGGTGGAGGAGGAGGGGGGATGAAGAGGGCGCTGGCGCCATGATGGGCAGCCATGGAAGTGAGTTAGACGCCTTCTCGTCTCTGCAGAAAGTCCAACAGGTTAGGAACAACGGTTTAGCGAAGCGCGGTTGGTTGGTGGAGTTTGGAGGTTGGGATCTGTATGGCGGTGGTTCTACGACCTGTTCGCCCACGTCGTGCGGGACCTGGAAGGTTTGGCGTTGGGACAATACGATTGGATTGGTGACAGGGACGATCTCTTGACCGTGGATCGCATCACTGCCGACTGTGCCTGTCTCCCTGTGTTCCCAGCGGCTGTTTCGGTGCCAATCTGCACGTCTGCACCGAGTGGCACACGCTACTAGGCCCGATTCTGATACTCGGCGGGGCGGAGGTCAGTATCGGCGAGGCTCTTCTGGGCGAGATATCAGACCCCAGCTTTGCCAATCGCTGCTCTTAGTAGAACTTTGTAATGATACACCGCGGAATGAATTGGTTGGAAGTCCTTGAAATCGTACGCCAAGGCCTTCGAATATGCCCAGTACTATGGAGACGCCGTACTCCCCAGCTCATAAGGAATCCCAGCTGCCAAGGGCAGGAGGCCAAGGGCAGGCCGGACGGATTCCGACCACATACCTAGACACATGGGGAATCGCAAACGAAGTGAAGGAATCCATCTTACGACTCCGATAACTGATTGGTCAGCTTGCGGACTCCCGAACGGAATATGGGAGTCATTCGAGGTAAAGGCGGGATGGAGTCGATGAGGCATGGAGAGGAGATGTTGGTGAATGTTGGTGGCGTCTCCAGGGTTTACTCATTATTGTGGTCGTATGGAACGGACTTGTCCTGATCTAATGCATTTTATACAGGGTTCCTCGTCGGCTTTTTTTTTCCCTAGCGAGGAAAGTTTTGGTTTGTTCGTACAACCTCAAACAAGCTCTAGACCGACTGTGTCATGGTGGTGGTGATGGATCATGGAAGTGGTGAAGACTGAAGAGAAGGTGAAGTGGAGAGTGGAGTGGTTGTGGTTCGTGACGGCCCGCGATCCAGCCTTCCAGTGAGCAGCACCGTTTAGCCGCCGAGGTCTTTTAATTAGATCTACAAAGGGCAAAGGCGTGAGATGTTCAATCCCCAAAGCTGATGGATCTTTTGGAGATTCCGTCACTTGTTGACTGAAGGGATGTCGTCGAATCCTTCTCGTCTGGATTTCATTTATTCCCCTCTGCCTTGCAATTGGGCAGATGGCCTCGATAGGGCTCCAACCGGGGCCAATTTATCTGCAGTCCCGTCACTCCTCAATGTTGGTCACATTTCTGACCATGTCAAGTGGCCGGCAACTGGCAACGGACGATGTTGGGTGGTTGGGGGGTGATTGGTGCTCAATCCGTGACGGTTTGGTCGTGCATGACAGGCGCATCAACGGCCGTCGGTAATGCGGGATTTATCTTGTCTATCGCCAAGCGGACGCCAGAGGAAAGCTTCGATTTCTCTTGAGAGTCGAGACGGGTTCAAGAGAATATTGGGAAGTATATATTTCGGTTATATGTGACTTTTGCCTGTTTGGCTATCATTGGTCATTCCTTGGAGGTATGTGGATGGCCTCAATTTGTTTTGTTGTATACCTGCCAGTAGCAGGTTCTCCTATCACCGATGTCGGTTCATCAGGCATCTTCACTCGATGAGCAGTGGTTCCTGTCTCCATCACGTTGCTTCATCTCACTGTTCGTCTAATATCCGTGCTTCTTGTGGATGTCAACCACCTTCTGCACCTCGTCCCAGCTGCCCATGAAGATGCCCGATCGATCATGGATGTGCTCCGGCACGACGTCGAGCATCCTCTTCATGTTGCTATCGATCGCCTGACCACCGGCTGCGATGTGTGTTAGCCTTTTCGTTCTTCATATTTCTCTGTCTTGATCCGCGTGAGGCAAGCTTACCGTTCTCAAACACCAACCCCATAGGCGCGCACTCGTATAGAATCCTCAACTTGCCCTTCGGGCTCTTCTTATCCGCCGGATACGCGAAGATGCCTCCATACAACAGCGTACGGTACGCATCCGCCACCATGGACCCAATATACCTCGCGCTGTACGGCTTCCCGCCCTCGCCCGGATACTTCAAGCTATTCACATATTCCTTCACTGGCTCTTCCCAATACAGACTATTCCCTTCATTGACCGAGTAAATCGCCCGCGTCTTTGGAATCCGCATCTCCGGATGCGTCAGGATAAACTCCCCCAACGCATTGTCCAGCGTAAACCCATTCACCCCGCCCCCCCGCATCGTGATCACCAACTGCGCCGATGCGCCATACATCGTGAACCCGCTCGCCACCAGCTCGGACCCGGGCTTCAGCAGATCCTCCTTCGTCCCCGCGGCGTCCTCGCCGAGGAGATACACGCCGAAGATGGTGCCGACGGAGACACCGGCGTCGAGGTTCGAGGACCCGTCGATGGGGTCGCAGACGACGGCGTAGCGTGCGTTCGGGCCGGCGGGGAATACGATGCATTCTTCTTCTTCTTCGGACACGAGGACGCGGACGCGCGCGCAGGAGCGCATGGCAGCGATGAAGATGTCGTTGCCGATGACGTCGAGTTTCTTTTGGTCGTCGCCGGTAGTGTTGGAGGAGCCGGCGAGGCCGGTGAGCTGGGTGGGGTTAGTGGGTGGTTCCGAGGAGGGGGGAGGGGCGCCTTACGTTGATGAGGGTGGAGCGGCGGATGTAGTAGGCTATACTCTTGAATGCGAATTGGAGGGCATGGCACAGTAATCTGATGCATCGGTTAGCTTGCGGTGGGAAGGGTTGAGAGTAGGGATACGGACGTGAAGTCACCGGTAGCCTCCTTGTGCTTGGTTTGCTCTTCGGTCAGGAACCGCGTCAACGTGATGATTTCAGTGTTGATGTTCTCCGTCCCGACTCCCACGGTGTTGCCGTTGCCGTTGCCGCTGCCGTTTGTGTCCGCCATGTTGAAGGTAATCTAGGACAGATCGATGATGAGAAGCGGTTTCGGGTAGACGATGGTGATTCAATGGCAAGAGGTCACGATCTAGAAGGAATGCAGGAGTGAGAGGAAGTTGATGTCGTGGAAATGCGTGCCTCCGTACACCCAGGAAACTCCCGGATTGATGGATCGGGATCAGGTTGTTATATGACGAGAGGGCCTCGGTTGAAAGGTACCCAGTATTTCCACTATTGAAAGTTCACCAAGCCCCAGAACGATCAGCACGATGAACCACGTCACGGCGAAGTGTCAATTGGAAAGTTTCAACTCTGTTTGAACATGTATAAGTAGACCAACGACCCTCCAGCCCTTTTGTATCAATGTTCAACGCTCCGCGTCTAGCCATTCTACCACCCCGCGTGATGATATCTCTCATTCCACCCGCCCCATTCAGCAGCCGCGGGGTGGTGACCCGTCTGACGTCGTTCCGTTTCGCAGCCGCACCAGTGGTCCAGAGTGGCCCATTGGTTGTTGGCTAGGCTACGATGCGGACTTTGACAGGTGAAACGCAAACTTACCCGAAATGTTCCGGTGATTCGGACCTAATGGAGGATTCGGGTCGGGTAGGAAGATACGGTAATAATCCCGCAGGAAATGGCATTCTGGAATTCTTTCTCGGAGTGGAAGAGACATCTGCCGGTTCGGATGCTAGGGGTTGTGGTGGTGTTGTGCCACCAATCAGCGTGAAGACGAAACGTTAGGACCACGTGATGGAACACGTGACTCAACCCATGATTCAGCGGGGCATGCACGTGATATGAGAGCTACTTGTCTTGGCATCGTCTAGAAAACTCTTTTTTTGTGTTTGGGAACTTGCGAACTTCATCACCCAAAACATCCCATTTCGCTAAACCGAATATTGGTTCTTGGGCAAGAGATCGATCATCAACCCTTTGATGATCTTTTAGATCTTGGATCCTTCATCATGTAAATGATCATGCTTCCCTCATGGAAATGAGGGCAAGTCTTCCAAATCGTAAGTATCACAGTTACCACGTCGAAATACCTCTCCTTCCCTTCCCTGATGAATTGTCAACCGCTAAACTAGAGTCTTTGATCCTTCGGGACATGAAACTCATTGCACACACGTCAGTCTGATATCGACCGACATGATACCTCATTTCTCGCTGCTTTCCTAAGCTCAGTCAAGCTAACGGCCACAAGATATTGTAGGAATGATCAATCCGGTTCTACCAAAAATCTCGCTTCGGTATGTACCAACCTTGTTTTACCCACCCACTCCACCTTTCATGATGATTTTCTTTATATACTGGAAATTACCGACTTAGACCTTTGGGTTGATGCCGACAGTTAAAGAGGCTGTTTCTGATGATACTCCCATCTCACCACATTCTTGCATTATACACTTTCCGAGTTTATTCTGACATCAACCAGGCGTAGTAGGTGAACATCGGCATCAATGGTCCGTTTACTTCCCATTCGATTCTCCCTCCTCGTCGAATGATGAATGGCACTGGGCTCCGATTCTTCATGACGGACACGCCCTTTTGTGGCAGGCCTAGAAAACCTCGCCCACTGATTCGGCGCCATACATTGTCACTCGGATGCTTTTGGCTGGTCACAGTGTGCTAAGCCTTTGCAGGGCTGCTTCACGGCAGGAGGGACGAATGCGGGTTGGCGCGTTCTGGGTTGAAAGGCCAGTCCCGAACGGTGTAGCTAGAGATTACATATCCAATTCAAATGCACATACGGTATGTTCAACTATCTCGCTTTTCCACCTGCCTTTTTGTGATGAGACTAGATGACGAGTCCGAGTCCATCTTTGAAGACACAATTTTTTTAATAACCATTCATGTCAACCTCTGATCCATATTGAGCCAATTATTTTCCAAATATGACGTTGTGCTAGATCATCACTAACATCGCCTGGTCAGACTAGTGCATTCGAGATGGTCAACTCGACGAGGAACTCCGTCGCACTTCGAATCTCTTCGCGAGATGGTCTTATGGTAAGCCTGCCACTACTCCATGCCTCAATCACCTGATGAACTTTTCCGAATTACAAGCATATGGCTTAGCGTTCTGCTTGCAGTTCGCGATGCAGACACAAATTCTTTCCTGAACATCCCCTTCTCACCACCATGCTATCTTTTATCAAGTCCAAGCTTTGATCTGACTGTTTCCCAGGGTGAAACCATGCAGCGCCTCTTCGCTCGTTGACCTCGAATCACTATAGGCAAACGTAAGTGCATACTTATTGTTTTCTTCTCTCTTCGCGGATAGTTCTATTATCCTTAGATGATGATTTTATTTTTCTCTCACGACGGTCGACATAGCCGATTTATTTCGGCATTGATGAGAATGGCCCCTGACCGGGCCTATTCTGATACGAGTCTTCCCATACACACTGTTGGATTCTTCTTGGCTGAACTTTTCTGACGTGTGGTTGTAGACGCTTGCTTTGGACGCAGTCCATGGATGCTATGTGAAGACTACAGAGTACGGCTTCGTAACGAGGCAGGCCAGTCTGGTTGGCAGAGGTGGAATAGACTTCAAAGTCCAATATGCTCGTCCACTGGTGACACCTTGCGTGTCGTGCTGGCTTTGGCAACCGACCGCCACGGATATTTGCTCTATTAGCCCATATCGGTACCATTCTGATGGTCTGCTGTAGATAGAAAATTTGATACATCACCATCGACATCATCATCCTCCTCCTTGGAACCTGCCGTCCCTAAGAGCTACAGCGCATGAAATCCTATCCCATCTCCACGTCTTCTTCGATCCTTTGCGCACATCTATTGGCACGATACGCTGGCATCGGCGTCTACCCGTTGTTGGGAAATGGTAAAACACTTCCCTCCCGTCTCATGTCCGCTGCTCCGTTTGCCAGCGCGTTTACCATTCCCAGAATCCTCTGAAAGCATGCTCCTGCTTAAAAGTCCAACGACTGGGATTCTATTAACATCTCCGCTCTTCCAACTCAACTCACCCTTCCAACTTCATCTTCTTCTTCGGCCAAACACTCTTCCATATATATCCCAGTCTTTCCCGGTTTTTATATATGCATCACTACTTCGACTGCTATATACAATTCGAGGAGCCCGCTCCCCTGAACGCCCCTTTCGCCTATGGCGAAGACCAGCTGCACTCGCCGTCCCCGGCCCGGATAAGATCGCGAGGCAGCGGGGGTTGTTTTGTGTTATCGAAATTCCGAAACCTCACCAGGGCTTGGAAGGAGAGAATGAAGTGAAACCAACGGGGCAAATAAGATCGCAGGTGAACATAGGCTTCTTCAATATTCACTGTATACACTGCCTCGTCACCTTCCAAAACGACGTGGCCGGAGAATCCGCGACGCGCCTCTATATATACCCTTCCTCGCCAATTATGGATGTTTTGGTACTGGCGTGCCATCTCATTCTCGCGATTTTAGTTTTGAACTACATTGTAGGCGTAGCCCGGTCGGTTGAGGTCGTCATTCCGTCCATACTGTCAGCGCTGAGAGCCACGCACAGCGTCTGATTTCCCATTAGAGGGTTTCAGGGCAGTATGGCGAACTCAAATTGTATGAAAACCAGCCCCCCATCTTCTCGTCCCTTCTTACCTCCACACGTCCTGACAATTATGTTGCATCAGACGTGTCGCTCGCACGGTACTCGTCCTCTGCACTCTCGAAAACTTCGAAAGCGTCTCTCCATCATCGATGTTGTCATTCACGGATACCCCGGAGTTGCAGAACGAGCTAGAGGCGACAATGGGCTCCGTGCAACTTCTTGAAGAAGCACGTAGCGCCGCGCACCAGCAACAGGCGGGATCGGTAGCAACAATTCACGGTTGTGAAACTGCTGGACTCATTTGCAATCGTCGTCAACTGCACTCATTTGTGTTCTTCAGAAGGATCCCATCTTTTAGTCCTCGATCACAAGTTCCCCCAGGATTTCGCTAGCGATTCTTGCTGGAAGCACCCAACGGATCTGACGCGCCTGACGAAGTTGATGGTTGGCAGTTTTCCTCTCTCTTCTATCATTAGAGCCAACCCTCACCATTAGCCACCACTCTGCAGGGTCTCCATCGGTAACGGTTTCGAACCTGGTATGTTCGAGGGCATGTTCGGCATCTTTAGCTGCAACAAGGGTAGTGTAGGCTGCAATGAACTTCATATCCTTATCGAAACGCAGGTCTACAAGCCTCCCACGCGCATGTTTGAAGGGCGTGACGGTACAAACCCCGCTCAGTTTCTCGTCTGCTGAAGCCGTATTGTCCGATTGGCCGGTTCGGGATGGTGCTTTGACGGTTCGAGGCTGATGAGTATTTTGAAGTGTGCGAATGAAGAGGAACTGTGGATCGAGGCCTTTCGTGCAGAGTGACCGAGCATAATATCCTGTGCCTAGAATGATAGAGAGATGGCTGTCGGGGAGATGGACGATGCGTCGCTTGCAGCCATTTCCAATTAGGATTTCCATGGTTTCGTCTAACGGGCACGGAGGAGTGAGATTATCAGGAACGAAAGTGCTTTGGACGATAAGTGGAGGACAAGATGTGCAAAGTGAAATGTGAAAGAATAGACAAGGTGAAAGTAAAACTGGAAGATTCACATCAAAACAATTCCTGTTGAAAAGCACCGGCAATATTCCATTCGGTTTCGTGTCTTCTACACCATCTCACTTCTCCTCGACAATCGTCCACTACACATCACTACAGATATATTTTAGGATGGGAGACTCTCATCAAGCCATCCGACTGAGTAGCGAGGACGCTCGTCTTATCCATGCCCACGAATCCTCCGAAGCTACAACGATGTGTAAACCGAATATCGATTATTCAAGCTCTTTACCGAAGGCCATCGACCATCGAGCAATTGTGATCATTAGTCTGGATGGACCAGAGTAACCGATCCTTGCGATGGGCTCATCTCGACGCGAAGAGCTGGAAGAAATAGCGGCTCAGTAACCTTTCGCTCCCGTCGTTCAAGCATTCGCGCTTGAGACTTGAACATTTCTGGTTTCAGAGCATTCCATGTCCTTCCTGCTGGGATACCGGACTTATCAACTTGCCAGACTTGCCGAGACCGCACTGAATAACTCAACGTTTGTAACAGGAAAAGGAGGGCTGCGCTGCGGGTGGTCATCCAGAAGGGCCCAGTCAACCGGCCTGAACCCAGGACACTGAAGTTCCAAACTCTCCACATGATCTGGTATCGACGGGTTCTTCCAGGGAGTTCTGCTCACGTTAACTCGCAGCATCTATTCAGAGAGATGTAGAACAAGGAAAACTTGACCCGAGGACCTATATGGGACTCGTGGTGAACGGTCAATACCGAGGACCGCATCTCCCACAAACCGCATACCCTTCCCGTCCCGACGTACTAGTAGAAGAAATACGGTCGACTCATGTGCAGAGCAAACCTTCCCTAGAGGTCTTCAGTCAAGCGACGAGCTCACCGCGTATGCGACCAAAGACATCAACTGGCCCTGCCTACTCGAAGCTGCCAACAGTCTTGAACTCAATTGAGGACGTCGCGCGATGCGAACGGGGAACCAAAGCCAAGTTGCTGCTACACGCTCCAACTCATCAAAATTGTTGAATCGTTTCAATGGCATCGCGCGTGCTTCCACGGCATATTACTCCAATTACAACGTCAAACTTGAGTTCGGTGTATGCGTGCATAGTGGAGGGAGCAATGGACGGGGGCATAGGCCAGTTTTTGACGTCCTGCCTCGCGGAAGCACGGGAAAGTAGCAGCGCGACCGAAACGCGTCGGCCCATCACGGAAAACAAGCGCATGGACAAGAATCAGATGGACAAGAAGCACATGGATATGAAGCACACGGATACGAAGCACACGGATACGAAGCACATGGACACGAAGCGCGTGGGCAAGAAGCGCAAGCGCATGGAGGAACAGGACGAACCGGAGGATGAAGAAGAGCAGGAGCGAGGAAAGGCAAAACGCTGAACAAAGGCTTTAGCGTCCAATACCCTGATGATACGGGCATGGCTGGAACGGAGGTTACCTTGAACTTTGCTGAACTGAATAGAATGAAATGATGGATGGACTGGAGTCAAGACTGGACCGGATGGACATGGATTGGAATACCTGTAATTAGTATCCCAGATTTATTCCTAGATGCCTTGATACCTGAGGCACTATGCTCGCAGCGATGGACCTTACAAATTTCGGAATTCTGATTCGTTCACGTGATGCCAAGAAGCAGCTTCCGCAACTTGCGATTCTTGCTTCGACTTCATCCGAGGACTGTATCTGCAACGAAGTCATAATCTCTCCTTCAATTGGCTTCAATTGCCATTGGCACCTCCGTGATCCAACTAGGTAAGCTATAAGCACGCCCATCCCCAACTTCAGATGCCTGAACCCATACCGTTGCCATCCCTCCCGCGCCGATTCAGCCAGCCTTCCGTCTATCCTCACTCTCATTACCGCCGTAACCGCTCTTACTTCCTATTCGCAACTAACGCTTCTCGTATAGGTAGCACTCGTTCATCCGTCCACCCGCCAAAATGCTCAGCATCATTTCCGACATCATCTCCTCCTTCACCGCCGTCGCGCACGCCGAGGCTGCCGAGGAGGAGAAGCCCGAGGAGCAGCCAGAAGCCCAGACCGAGGAGGCGTCCGAGGAGGAGGAAGAGGAAGAGGAAGAGCCCGAGGATGTGATGCCGAAGCTTGTGGAAGGTGAGTGATTTATCCTTGATCGCTGGGAGTCAATGGCGGAACGAGTTGGTGGGATGCACATATGGGACGATGTGGATGTTGACCGAGAGTTGGGCCGTTCTCCAAATGGATTGCTGACATCGCCCTCACAGATTGCGCCGAGCGTGAATGCCACACCCAGAAGCACCACTACGATGACTGCGCGCGACGCGTGACGCAGCAGATGGACGAGAACGACGGGAAGGCCAACGAGGATTGCGTTGAGGAGTGTGAGTGATGCCCACCAGTCTCCCTCTGAGATCCACAACGCTGACTGCCAATGAGAAATAGTCTTCCACCTCACACATTGTGCGACTGCTTGTGCTGCACCGAAACTGTGGAAAACCCTGAAATAAATTTCTCTCGTCCGACAACTCCCTCCTCCGCTCGAAAGTGTGATGGAAATCCTAGAGTGCGCAGTATCGGTCATGGGGGAAGCGGCATTTGGTTACGGGTTTTAAAGAAGCCATGTTCTCTTCTCCTGCTGTACAACAGACAATGTACTTGTAGAGACAAAATCAAAGCAATAGATATTACAGCTTCTCCGCCCCTTCTCATCGCTTCATCAGGTCCCGCGACTCAATATCGCCGATCTTGAGCCAACCAAAAATTATCTATAAGCAAATCAGACAAAACCAAAATTCACCGGGCATCTAAATGGCCCGGTTATCCCGCACTATACATGGTCCCTTCGTACGCAGCTGGTCTAATACCACTATACCATGGTGCCGCTATGGTGAAAAACCCGCCGACTGTTTTTAAGGACTGGATTGGTGCCTATTCTGTGCATGTTGTAGAGTGGAAGGGCCGGGAGGGCCTAGCGATTGAGAGCAGTACCTAGTAAATGGAGATTTCTACTACTTGGTTTCAGTGGACACGTCGTGAACTTGGGAAGGTTCTCATATATTACTCCTTCGGTCGAATATTCATAGATATGACAAGAAGACCACAGGATAAGACTACAGATTCCATCCATCCCATCATGTCCCCCTTGGCTCATCCACCGAGTACCTTCTACTTACTCTCCCTTTATCCAAACCCAAACTGCGCACTCCCAAGAGCAATGGAACCGGCATGATCACGCACGTGAGCACAGTCTGGAAAACCAACGCATTGTACATATTCCCCGGCGGCCGGTCCCCCCTCTCCGCCGTATCCCCCGGCGTACCATCCAAGTCCTTCAACGCCCCCATGATGATGATGAAGATCCCCCCGAACAGCTGGCCCCCGGCCCAGCAGATCGTGCTGCTCACCTCGGGGCTCGCGGGCCAGGTGATCTCAACGAGGTACTCTAGCACGATGGGGACGAGGGTGAACGACGAGCCGCCGAGCAGCGCGGCGACGACGTACGGGCCGGAGATGGCGCGGGTTTGCGGCATCCAGGTGAAGGCGAGGTAGCTGGAGGCGATGATGGGGACGAGGATCTTGATGGGAAGGAGGAAGGTGTGGGTGCGGTCGATGATGGGGGAGGTGGCGGCGGCGGCGACAAGGCCGACAATGATGAGGACAGCGCCGCAGAGGCCGGCTTGCTCTTCGGTGTAGGCGTAGGGATAGAGGATCTGGTTGAGGAGGGAGGAGAGGGCGTTGAAGAAGGAGAGGTAGATGGTGAAGGCGGTGAAGAGTAGGTAGAAGGATGTGTTGGAGCGGAGCTCGACGAGGGATTTGCGGATGGAGGGCTTGGGGAGGGCGGAAGAGGCGGAAGGGGGGGTTGGAGGGGTGGCGGGGATGAAAAAGGAGGGGATGCAGATGACAGAGGACTGTGTGGTTAGCAATGGTGATAGAAGAGCAAGAACGGCAGACTTACTATGACAGCTACGTACAGAACCATGTTCGGTACATCCTCTGGCTTCTCCGCCCACAAAGGACTGATCAACTGTCCAATCTACATGCAACATTGTTAGCTTCCTTTCCCCTCATAGCATACACCCGATTTCAACTCACCGCACCACCGAACGGATTCGCCAACGTGGCGACCGCAGTCGCGCTCACCCTCCCTTTATCGCTAAACCACAGATCGCTATACCGCGTCGGCGCTGCCAGCACAAACGGCTGCGCGAACCCCACCAAGATCTGCCCGAACATGACGGCCCCAAAGGTTCCCCCGTTCGCTTTGGCTCCCGCGTACCGGATCCAGTTCCCGAGCAGCGTGAGAACGCTGGCGACCATGAGGGAATCCTTAGGGCCGCGATGGAGCGCTAATACGACCACCCTATGCGGATGATTAGTCGGGAGTCGGCATGGCTAGAAGAACGGGATGGAACGACGTACGGTGTCATGACCACGAAGGCGAATAGGAATGCGGTGCTGAGCCAGTTGATCGTATTCTCGGTGACGTCAAAGTATTCCGATGAGGTCTTGGAGATGGCAGCAAAGCTGAGCCACTGTGCAATCGATCAGTTAGCCTTTCGTCCTTACCCACAGGGGAGATTCTTTTAGACCGCTTCCCTATCGATACCTCTGAGATTACCTCATCTGGAGCGCATCCATAGAGTGCGTCCCGCAAATTATGTGTCGCAAGACGTGGGCCAACTTACATCCCAACTAATTATGATGTTCAACAATATAAACTGCGCCAACCCAAAGAACCTCCTCTTATAAACTCTGTACTGTGTGCCGTCCCCACGCTGCTCTCTGGGGTTGCCCTCCCCATTCCCACGTCCCACGATCTCCCTCGTCTCGTCCTCCGGCGACTTTGCGCCGTCATCTCGTAACGTGTCCGCGCCGGTCGCGCTCGATTCGATGGGCGCGAGATGCGCGGTGTGGTCGTCGGGGCTGTTCGACGAGGGCGCGGCGGCCATGGCCATGAGTTTCACGTTGTCAGACCCAGGGCGCACGCGAGGTGGCATGTCGATGGTCGATTTGATGAGGCCGAGAGGGCTCAGCGGGAGGAGCCAGAAGTGGGGAATGCGCACAGCTCGGCGCGGAGGTGTGGATGGTGATGGTAGATGAGCATGCGACGGTGCATCTGAGAGATGAACGAGAGGAAGACGCCGAGTAAACGGATGGAACGGGGAAATCCAAATGGTCACTGCTCTAGGTAATTTGCTTCCTTTCCGGCATTCTGGGACGGTTCAAGAAGCGAGGTTGGTCCTCATCCAAGCTTCGTAATTATCCCTTTGTTATCAACATGGATAGGATGGATCTAGCCTACCTAGTAGTGACGAGGATAGGGGAGATATGTCTATACCGAAATCGTTACCATACACTTGGAGACAAGCGTTTCATTTCTAGCGTCGTAAACGTAGCGATGCGGTTATTGAGGCGCTACCGTTATTTAGCGACTGCTTTGGATCGAAGCGACGTAATGCTATTGAGGTCGCACTGCGGTCATGCAAGTGTTGGGCGATGCAGGTCAATGCTATCATGAATGGCATTACCCGCGATCGCATCACCTGAGCATTCTGGAGTTTTTCACATTGGGTATTCGCAATCTAACGTTGAACGACCTAGACCGTTCCAAAATATTATCTTGCACGTACTGTCCCTCTGAAATCCATGAGATAGCTCTCCAGTATCCAACAACGCGACTTCACATATCCCCTCCTTGATTCTCCCCATCCAACAGATCCAGACTCTTCTATCGGCACCCAATTCTATACACACTCACCTCCCCTCCGCCCTCGCAAGTAACCCCTCCATCCCCGTCGCCTTCCAACTGCTACGATCCGCCTTCCCCTGTGCATACACAATATCTCCCTTAAAATACACCACCACCCCCCCTTTCCCTGTCGCGCTGGCCGTGATGCGGAACAGCGGCAGCCCCGTTTCCGGATGCGCTTCGCGGAGCGGACGGAAGAGCAGATCATGCTCCGCACTCCACTCCTCCACGAGGTCGCGCATCGTCACCTCTTCCACCGGCGCGGACGGTGTGTCGGCGGTGGTCGAAAGCGCCGCGGCGGTGGTCGACGGGAGGGACGTCGGGAGTGCGGATGTGGCCGTTGATGGTGCGGGTAGGGAGCTCGCCTGATCGCCCAGCCGTTGTGCATGCGAAATCAACTCCAGCGCCTTATTCCATTGCTCGTCCACCTCGCGCAGGGCGTTCACCTCCGCGGGGAACTGCTCCATCCACCAATTCCGCCACTCGACGAACACGTCGAAGTCCTGCGCGCCGCCGGTCAGTGCGCCATGCAGCACGGCGAAGAACTTCGGGAAGAACTCCGCCAGGAACAACTGCGCCATGGTTTGAGGTTTGAAGAGGTCGTTCCACGCTAGGACCGCGGTGAACGGTGCCATGTCTTGCGCCTCGGGGTTGACGACGAGGTGGTCGGCGAGGTGCTTCGCGAGGCGCGGGAGGGCCTTGCTGACGAGGGCATGGTCGAGCTCGGTGGAGAGGACGGTACGCCATTCGGGGAGGCCGGGGAGCGGCCCGCGGGCGACGTCCCAGGTCTCCAGGACGCGGCGGAGACGGCGCTTGACGTCGGCGAGGAGTCCGGCGGGGTTGTGGGGGTCGGTGTGGTCGTCGGGGAGGTAGGGGAGCCAGGGGAAGAGCCAGACGTGGGGGAATTGGTGGGGGCGGGGATCTTTCTTATTGGACAGACGGCGGGGTTCCCAGTCGTGGATGGCGCGGGTGAGTTTTTGGAGGATGACTTGGTTGACGAGGTGGTTGTAGATGAAGTCGGGGAGGACAGGGCGCCAGTGCTCGAGTAGTGTGAGGAGGGTAGATGGGGTGTATGGGTCCCAGTGGTTGGTGACGGCGGTGCGAACGCATGGGAGCCAGAGGGTGTACATGAGGGATTCGTAGGGTGTCGTTGACTTGGAGCGTGGGAGGGAGTCGAAGTCCATGTCGATGGTGATGGGTTGATCGATGGCGAGGACCCCTCTCAGGCGATCGAAGTAGTCAACCATATGTGTAGGCTCTTCCAGAGGCGACCAATCTAGCACCTCTAGCTTGAAGAGGGGATGTATTGCCGCCACGGCCACTTCTGAGAGCACCTCTTTTCGAACTGTATCTTGATACCGCAGGTGCAGCTGTAACAGCCTTTCAACAGCTTCAGTCCACATCCCTTTCGCATCGGAGGAAAGACGAGGCTTCCCCAGCTCCAACGCCTGGAAAGCCTCCACCGCCTCTGCCAGCTCTTGAAGTATGTCGATTTCTTTTTGATGCTCATCCACCTCCACCCGAACGCGTGCCTCCTCAGCCGCGGTATATTTCTGCCGCTGCGTCAAGCTCGTCCACTGGCCTGCAAAGCTCTCCAAATCCGCCTTTGCGCGTCGGGCGATCTTTTCGACTTCGGATTCGGCGGCTATCCCTTGTGTGGCGCTGCTCATGAGGCCCGCTGTGGTTGTGAGGACTTTGGTCTGCTTCCCAGTCGCGTCGATGAGCGATTTGAGGACATTGGGCACCTCCAGCCCTTCCGCGTCGGCTTCAATGTCGGCCGCCGTCCGGTATTTCATTTTTGGTCGCGTAAATCCTCCCGGAGTACTCACACCGGTACCCGTCTGGCCAGCAACGCCCCGATTCTTCCTCTGCTGCCTCGCCCTCTTTTCCTCTTCCTCTGACGAGTCCTCATACTCTTCTCCCCTCTTCTCCGCTTGTCTCTTCGCCTCCGCCTTCGCTTGGGAGCTTTTCTCCTTGACGGTCCCAACACCGGCGCCTTGAGGTCGCATTTTCACCTCGATTGGGTTCAGGATACCCTCGCCTTCCTTGCCTAGCCCTTCGCCTTCTTTGTAGCCCATCTTCGCCATCATCCGGGCGGCGAAGGACATCTTGCCTGCTTTGGCCGGTGCAGCATCTTCATCGCTGACCCGGGCGGATTTCCGGCCACGCATATCGCCGAAGTCGTTTTTGCGCTTGAATGAAGGTCGCTCCATGGTGATTGGTGTGTGGAGGGGAAACCAAGAATCCAGAACCAACCCTAGGAGAGGGGATTTCGATGAAGGAAGAGGCTCTTGGACGTCACAATGGTTGAAGAGCCATGCGGTTTGGATCAAGGATCACAACAACTCAGGTATCAGATGCGTGGTATGGACCCCGGCAGTTCACGATAGCAAGAAGGGAAAGATATCGAAATCCTGAAGCATCAATCTTTTGGGAAACATAAAGTTTCATGAGTACGGATATTAGATGGGTGCTGTCTGAAGCTCTAATGGCGCTCAGTTGCAGGGAGTGGCGTTATCAGTTCCAACTAGACGCGTTCAGCGAAGTGCAGCCTTATTGCCTCAGGCAGTAACCTATTTTTATATACTCAACTTTGCATGCGGCGATGTGCAGCGCCATCCCCTTATTGAGGTTTCTTGCCCCTAGTAAGTTACACTAATTCCCCTAGTCTCCTACTACAGCACACTAATCCCCGTCAAACGGTCAAACCTCCTGAACTTTCGTTACTGTCACAGTCGCGTGGTGTGAGAGTTACATCCGCTATGCCCTGGTCGGTTGTCATGTACCAGCAAGTACCAGCAGGTACCATATCAAGTTTATCAACATATGGGGAACATTTCTTGCATGGTTGATCATGTTCCAGACCCTCTGGTTCGCCCCAAATCCCGAGTTTGGGACCCTCTTCCTTATCTATTGAAAATATGCACAGAAGATCCATACTAAGTACTGGTACACCGTACACATAACCTTTCGCCCTCACCAGGCCTCCCTATTCCTTAAGTCCCCATCATCATGACTGAGCACGCTACGGACTCCGAGTCCGCGCCGTTTTCCACTCAAGACCCCCTTCCCGCCGCTGAAGCATCCACCGACGCCATTGTCATGGTCAATTCACCCAGTAATCTCGACGCGACCATGGTGCGGACAGTGTCTTCCAAAGGTGCCGTCAAGCTGCGCCATCCGGCTCCTGACCTCCAGTCCCTGCAGGGCGCCTATTTGCACAACGTGGAACGACTGGAGGAGAGCGCCGAGCGGCTGAGCATGTCCGGTTCCGACCTTGGCGAGGAAATCCAGAAACTACACCTCGAACAGAAACTGTCCGATAGCAGGAGAGCGTCGTTGCGATCGCTGCAGTTGGAGGAGTCCAACAATTCTCAGATCCGATCCCCTGAGCCGTCCATGAGCTCGCATGCAAATTCCATCGTCGAAGTGAACACCGCCGCACGGTGGGGAGGATATTCGCCGGCTGGATACATTGGCTCGCCCATAGGGTCGGGGAGATCGAGTTCTTGGTCGCATGTGTCGTTTCCGACTACATCAAAGAATCGAAATCGGTCCGCGTCCAAGGGATCGAAGCTTGGGCAGGTTGCAACAGAGGAGCAGCCGGAAATGGAAGGACAAGACGAGACACAGCCGAAAGACATGCCGCCGAAAGAATCCCCTTCTCAGGGCCATGGGCCGAACGTAGTAGGATCGCCAACATCGTTCGCTTTGGAATACGAACAGATATCCAGAGACATCCGCGATGGCTTCGAGGACGACTCCCAACTTCAACCTCCCGTTGACGGAACGCCGCGAGCCGAATACCCCCCAGAACACCAAAACCTCAAGCGACCCTCATCAGCTACCTCTGGCGATACCTTCCAACAATCTCGCGCCTTTTTTGAAGATTTTGACGGTGTGCACTATGCACCCAGCATCCGCGAACCCACCGAGCAGTCGAAACCCGACAACGGACGTACCCGACATTCCTCACTCCTTACACCGCTCCCCCGACCAACATCGTTTGCGCCACCTACCGACAGCATGGTGTATTATCCTGCGCCCGTCCCCAAACTTTTGAACCTCCCCACACGACTCTCCCAAGCACCGTCGGCCACATTACAAGCAAAGCGGCGGACACAAATGGTCGATTCGTTGCACCCTGACGCGAGGAAATCTGCTGTATGGCTCAATGCGAATGATGTACCCGCTGTTGACGATGGGCATGTTGATCCACCCCGTCCAGTTGAGCGTCGAAGCATGATGACCCTCAACCTCCCTCCACAGCTACGCGCAAGCGTGTACTTTGATACGTCCCCAACATCACACGAGGTCGCGATCAAGGATGGGTCGGCCGCGGCAACTCTCGATAGCATCCTCGAAGCCTCCGCAACCGCTCCCGTCAATGCGTTTACCAACCATCCATTTGTCGGAGAGATTGGCGGCGAGGTCTACAAGAATCAGACGAAGAGGAAAAGCGCTATGCCTGTGATGGGTGCCGAGAAGAGAAAATCCGCCTTGCCCGTTATGAGTGCCGAGAAGAGGAAAACCGCCGTGCCTGTCATGAGTGAGAAGAAAGAAGAAGTGCGGAAACGCCACAGCCGGAATGTGCTTCGAAGGAAGTCTGCTTCATCAATTGATCTGTTGACGACCGTGGCGGAGGACCCCTCGAAGAATAGCCTCGATAAACATGCCGCTGATGGCCGCTCCGTGCGATCGGAAGACGGCGCGATTGCCGCCCGACACCCATCCGAATATCTGACGGACAACCAACTCGATGCAGGCGAAGCAGAACAAGACGTATTAGACGCCGACGATATAGAATACGAGGAGGAGGACCCCTACGAAGCGTACGGCCCTCCTACCACCCTCCTCGCCGAGCTCCAGCTCCGCAAGCTCCAACTCAAATCCCGCTCCCGCACCGCCGCCAATGCCTTTCCGAACGGCATGCACGCCACCCTCCTCGAACTCGACGCCGTCGCACAGATCGAGAAAACCAAACGACGCGGCCAACGCGTCGCACTCGCGTGGCAGGATCCCGGGGTGTCCGCGCAGGACGATCAGGACGACAACGAGGAAGTCCCGCTCGGCATGCTCTTTCCCGGACGCAACGGGCTGCTGCAGAAGAAGAATATGGGCAATATGAACGATTGGGACCGGCCGCTCGGGTTACTGGCGATGAAGGAGCTGGAGGAGAGCGAGCCTCTTAGTAAGCGGCGGAACCGGCTGCTCGGCATCCAGAGGACGCCCAGTCCGCAGAGGTTCGAACCTCCGCTGGACGGTGCGGTGGAAGATGACGTCGGGGAGGAGGAAGGTTTCGAAGGGGAGACGCTTGCGCAGCGGCGGAGGCGGTTGATGGATAAGGAGGAGTTAGATAAAGCGCTAGGTGATTTACCGAGTCGACCGGTGAGCGCGATGTTCACGAGCGAGCTGATGAGCACGTGGGGCATGGACGAGGACGAGAAGAAGAAAGCAGAGGAGCAGCCGATCGACAAGCGAGCGAGCGCATTAACCGCATCTCCCATGGCAGAGAAAGCCGAGCACCAGGCGGACCGCGTCGAAGTCGAACCCGAAAACGAAACCCTTGGCCAACGTCGTGCGAGACTACAACGCACCGGCGCCACGCAAAGCACCCTCGGCGTTCCCCAACGCTCATCCACCATGTTCCTCCCCACAGACTCCCCCAACCTCCCTCCATACGACGCCAACCCCCCCATACCTGCCCCCCCGGTTGTCCGCAACCGCCTCTCCATGGCCGACCTCCTCGCCGCCGCCCCCGCCGGGAAACACGACTCCCGCCGCGTCTCCACGCACGCGCTCGTCTCCGCCCTCCCGCCCACCTCGCTGCTCGGCCAGCACGAGCAGAACCAGGCGAGGCACCGGGCGGAGTTGCAAGAGCGGAATCGTGCGAGCGGGATGGGTGGGCCAGGGGCGGGGTTCCCGAGGGGACAGCCGGCGCAGTGGGGTGCGCCGAGCGGGGGTTTTATGGGGGGCATGTTTAATGATGGGAGTGGGGGGGTGGGCGGTGGGGCGGGGATGAGCGGAGGCGTTCAGCGTATGGCGAGCATGCAGAACATGCCGTATCTGGGCGCGGGGAATGCCGCGTATCCGCCGATGGGGATGGGCGGGGCGATGAATGGTGGGGTGAATCGGCAAACGAGCATGGGGATGCCGCACGGTGGGGTGAACGGGTGGAATCAGAGTATGCCGATGTTGGGGATGCCGATGAATGGGATGCCGGTGAATGGGATGCCGGTGAATGGGATGCCGATGAATGGGATGGCGATGCCGATGGGGCAGCCGGGGTTCGATTACATGAATACCATGGCGGCTATGCAGATGCAGGATCCGCCGATGGATCCGAGGCAGAGGGAGTTGATTGATCGGTGGAGGCAGAGCGTGGCGCCGTGATTATTAGGCACTGCAGGTTCTTCTGTTCGACGGTCGGCAGTGTACGGTCGATTATAATAATATGTCTGTTTAGTGCGAGCATACCTGGCGCGGCGTTTGGAGATGGACTTGATTGTGGTTGGAAACATGGGCAAGGAAGCGGTTCTTGGAAGGGCTGGCTGGGGTTAGTCTATTTATTTTGAGACGATAATTAACTCTTAGTAATGTGGAGTCTCAGGCGGATTCTTCTCACCTTGATAATTTATAATTATCGAACCGTTCCGACTTGTCAAGTGGCCATTCAGTGGCCGTACCTCCAGAGCGTGGAAAATACTCGGTCGTTACCTTTTCTCAACTTGCACTTTACTAGTATAGTACTGCTTTATTCTGCTCCTGGCTAGTTAGCCTGATGTGGCACCGTTTATCCAGGCTGGACGAGTACGTCGGGAAGCGGTGCCATCTGCCACGGATTCTGTTTGCCATGCATCAAGAGGAGAGGTGCCCCAAATCATCCAATCCTTGCTCAATTAACCTCAGACACTGATTCTATATTATACATGTGTTAACTCAGACACCAATCCCATATCTCCGAGTGATACTCTCAACGTCCCTGCTTTGGACGTCTCCTTGGGTGATTGTCCGACACTGAACCTCCACCACCCACCACCCACTTGACTTCTCACTCCTCTTCCAGTGATGACTGTTTCCCCTTTGTCCTATCTTTACTGCCTTACCTTTCCACCTCCATCTACCCTCCTTGCTGGCAGTGTCCTCCCTGGCCTTCCACTCCCTCCCTTCCTTTTTAGTGACAGCAGTCCGTTTCAGTGCCGGCTCTACGATATCTTCCCAAGCCCGTTCCCATTGTTCTTTAGCAAAATTGGGTGGGAGATTTGAGATCCATTCCTTGCAGAAGATGTAGGATTCCAACGGATCTCGCGCCGGAGGTTGAGGCTTAATTTGTTCCGGGGGTTTACTCTTTGCTATGGCCGATGGTGTGTCAGACTATGATTTAGTGGCCTTTGGTGGGCAACCTCGCGGGGCCCGATATATCGATGAGGGTCCCAATTACATCCCATTGATAAAGGAGTCGGCGTATTCCCGCCGTTTAATAAGGCCGACCTCCAACCCGTCTATGACGAACTTTGCCGTCCACTTTTGACCAAACGAAGCGCGAAAACTCCCTTTCCATCTCCTCTCTTTTTGATTCTCTTTCCACACTTCGAGTTGACGCTCTCGCGACCAAAGACTCCACTCCCTCGTGATCATCCATTTACATAGACTCGATAGTCTACTCGTGATCACGCCCCCAGTGATTTCCTCCTGTGTTATGCGTGCAAGATAGCCGGACTCGAATGCCACAAGAAAATAACCCCGTCTGTTACTGTATCTAAAATTGGTCGTCCACCTCCATTAACTTAATAAAGAGGAAGAAAGGACTTGGAAAAAAAATCGCGGCCGAGATAGGAATCGAATTTATGATTCACTGAAGCATCCCCTGGGATTGCAGCTACCACTGTGGACCAACAAATGTTGTACCATGAAGAAAAACTAGCCAGACTACCTTTCATACATACTAAGGGGGCCCGATTAGTCTACTATCATCATATCTTTCGCTAACACGCTATGCAAGAAGATAGAGGCAAACCAAGCCTTGCACCTTTCTATTTGTCTTTGCACTTCCACCTGCCCTGTTCTTAGGGATGGACTCGTTCAGCCATTGTCTTTGGTTAGTATTCCTGCTCAAAGCTTTCGTTACATCTACCTCCCTCAGTATCATTTTGACGGAATTCCCATCTGAACATAGAGAGGCCCAGCATGCTCGTATTCATTACCAGTAAAGCTATTCACAATAGTGCCCATTGGATTAAAGCAGACATCAAAAGTAAAGCTGTTCAATAAACTGATTAACTGAAATATATAGGATGCCTTTGAAGATTCGATATCTCAAAGGACTTGTGGCACACTGGCAGCGCGGCAGACTGGTTGCTGGCAGCCTGGCACTCACCTGGCAGGAGGTGGCTTTAAAGTGCTTACTCATCAAGTCACGTTTTCTTGGCATGAATCTTCCCAAGAATGAAATCTATCACGACTTTCTTGAGTTTCATCCTCAAGCCCGCGTCGAGCTACCCACTCCGCAACCATGGCCCAATCAATGTCAATACGACCTTCCCGGTCGTCATTGCAGTCATTCTTTTCTTCAATATCATCTCGCCCCTCTATCCGCTCATCCCAGTGCCAATTCTCCCTCCAGCAGATCCGCCAGGAGTCAACACGAAAACGGCTGAAGAGAAAACTAAAGATCGCACCGTCACCCGCCTTCACCTCGTCCACCGAGCAATATGACCACATCCTCTTCGCCCCTCCATCATCGGCGCCGAACATCTACCACACGCCGCTGAAGTTCCTCCCAGCCCACGATCCACGGCGCCATATGCTCTCTTCAATGTCCTCCGCTCCCGCATCGATCACCCCGACCGGCACGCCATTAACCGTCGATGCGCCCAACTCGCTCATGACCGCCCTCAAATCCGTCTCCTTAAAAACGCCCACCCAAACCATCTCCCACTCCGAATCCGAGACCGCGCTCGGCCCCGTCATCGGCCCCACCGGTCGCAAGGGCTATCACCTCACCGAGCAAGACATCAACGAGATCCGCCGCCTGCGGCTCAGCGACCCGAAGACGTGGACGGTGGCAAAGATATCGCAGAAGTTCAAGTGCACGGAGTTCTTCGTGCGGATCGTCGCGCGGAATCGGGAGGCGGGGAAAGAGCATATGAGGCAGATGGAGGAGGTGCAGAAAGGGTGGGGGACGAAGAGACGAGAGGCGAGGGAGGATAGGTATCGGAGGCAGGTGTTGTGGGGGAGAGGATAAAGATGGAGCGGATTGGGTCGGAAGACAATGTAGGATAGGATTACACGGGACGAGCATATTGTGGAGAAGTTGGGTTCAATTGCATCCATGGAGTCGGTATGGACTTCATATCAGGCTACATCAGGCGTCATCTCTCCATTTGTTCGAGGCTCGGATGTACAAATAGACCTGGGACTTTCCAGGCACTGTATTAAAGCATATTCAAACCGCTCTAACTGTGGTAGCTATCTTCGCCTTGTTGCCTTGGCCCCTGTAGTTATACATATACGTATCTAACGCCGCTGCATAGCAGGGAACGCTCATGTTCGTTATTTCAATCACGCCCGATCTTCGTATCTCGACCGGCACCGAAGGACTTCATCTTCCTTTCGATGGTCCTAGCCGTCTCATTCCTGAACCGTTCAATCGTCGACTGTTTCTTCAAGCTAGGTTGGGGCTCTTGCTGTTTCTGCTGCTTCCCCTCTGGATTGCCTTCATCCCTTCTCCCCATCCGAACCCGTTCCAAACTCCTCGCTCTTTCGTGCAACTCCCTCTCGGCCATCGGCACATCGATTTCCGTCCTCTCCTCTCCAGTCAAATCCACCCTCTTCCTCCGTGCCTTCTCCCTCAACCCCTCGCCTTCCTCTTCCTTTTTCTCTAGCTCCATGGCCTCGAACAACACATCCCACCCGTCTAGCACCCTTGCTTGAACCTCCTCCCACTCTCGCCATCCTCGTGCATTCCGCTCCTCCTCATCCACTCCATTGATCCCCATCCCCGCCTGCGTCTCCCTCGCCTGCAACCCCCCCTCCGCAATCCTCGTCCTCCGCACCCACCCTTCCGGCCCCCTCCCCCTCCACCGCTCATACTGCTTCTCCACCCCCTTCATCGCATACGCCGGCGGCCCCACCAACGCCGCGATATCCTTCAACAGGAACCCACCAAACCCCATCCCAAACCCCACCAGTCCGCCAACAATCCCATCTTCCTTCACACCACGCACCGGAAGCCGCACCAGCCCCGTGACCCCGTCATACACGCCATACATGAGCTCATTCCGGCCCGCACGTAGCCCTGACCGCATCCCCGTGATCCGCACCGGTCGCCGCACCGTGTCGTCACCGTACAGCCGCGGCGCATTGTGGAATCCGTACGCGAGCGCAAGCAGCAGCAACATTGGCATCTTCGCGATGGCTTTCGCGGTGCGTTTGATCCCTAGTCCCGTCTGCCGGGCGACCTCCTCGAGGATATTCTCCGAGGGGTCGGCAGATAAAGTGGAGAGGCCGGTGACCTTCCGCAAAAGCATGGGGCGGCGAGAGGGCTTTCCGGCGCTGCCGTTGGCTTCGGCAGTGCAGAGCTGCTTGACGCGTTGATGGGCCGCTTTTTTCAGGCGGCGTTTTTTGTTGTAGTGCACAATGCGGTCTTCGATGTCTTTCATGACGTCGACGGGAACGCGGCCGACGCCTGTGACGATCTCCTTGATGGAATACAAGCCAGCGGCGCTGATGCCGGTGATGGGTTCCCCTGGGCCTTCGAAGTCGTTCCACTCCTGATGGCGAACAAGACGGAGGTTTTTCCACTGCAGTTTCTTTTGTCGCACCAGCACCTCCGCGGCAAGGGCGCTGAGGCTCACTCGGTATCCGGCGCCGTGGTGCTTCCGCTTGGGTTCCCACACCGCGACATGGTCTTTCAAGATGCTACATCGCATGCTTTTCTCCCCTAACTCCGTTGACTCAACCAAGCCCATCGGGATCCGTTTGAACAGCTCTTCAACCGCGTTCTTCGCACCGTCTCCCTCCGCCTCAATCCCCTTCCCGATCTCCTCGGCTTTTTGCTGCGCCTCATCGGTCAGGCACTCTTTGATCGCGCCCGCCAATTTCTCGGCAGTCAGCTGCTTGTACGGAATGCATTCCTTCGCCCCGGCACCGGATTTCGCTAACATCTCGCCCCAGAAAGGTTGATCCCCAAAGAACGGCACGATTGCGGTCGGCTTCTTGCATTTCAGACCGATAGCAGTGGTCCCTGCACCGCCGTGGTGGATCACGGCGCTGCAGCGGGGGAAGAGCCAGTCGTGAGGGGTGTTTCCAAGAAGTAGGATATTATCCGGGATCTTGATTCCTTCAACGGTGTCCTCATCCTCATTCTGAGCTGAGTTACTGGACGGCGAGTTGGAGCTCGATTCCCCGCCGCCGGATTTGTCCTTCCCTCCGCCACCCAGGCCGCCCCAGCCTTTGCTCACGAGGGCGCGTACACCGGCAATCTTGACCGCTTCGAAGATAAGCTTCGTGAAGCGCGCAGGGTCATCGACGACAATGCTGCCGAAGCCGATGTATACCGGTGGTTCGCGGGCCTCGAGGAACTTCGCGAGATCTTCGGGCGGCGTGAAGCTGCTAGCAAGCTCCAAGAAGACATATCCCGAGACGGTGATCTCATCGCCCCAGTCTCGCGGCTTGGGAACTAGAGAGGGGCTCCACATGTATGTATGAGGCACGGAGAGTCGCCATTCCCTACCTGGCGCCCAGAGTGTGCTGAGAGGCTCCAAGCCCAATGTTTCTTCGCGGAACTTGTTGACCAGGTCCCCCAGCCCTTGCCAGGTCATCATCTCGACGAGGGGGTAGCTCACGAAGTTGGCGTAGCCCAATTCGATATTGGATCGCTTGATGTTGGCGAGCGGATGCGGGAAGGCGGTGGTAGGAGAATACGGGAACGTGAATATGAGATGGCAATGGATGCCTAAGCGCTCGGCGATATCGATATGAACCATCGAGGGCGGATTGGCGATCATGACGTCTGCCACGAAGGGGAATTTGGTGCCCACTAGAAACCATCGTTAGCTCGTGGCAGAGAGCCATATGCCGGCGGATACACATACGCATCTTCAGGTTCTCTAAATCGTTCTCGTCATCGGTCGTGTTCACACACGCTCTCCACATCCCTTTGAACATCTCATGCATTGCTTTGCGGCGTCGCCCAACCTCGCCTTTCTTGACTGTCTCGATGCTGGGTATCAATCCGGGATTTTTCACCATGAATGCCATCAACTCCGATGGGTCGCCCCCGACCGAGAAAAACTCCAATCCCGAGTCCTTCTCGACGAAGTTTTTGAACGCCGGATGGGTCGCCAACCGTACTCGATGCCCATATTCATCCTTCAGCACCTTGCCAATCTTGATGAACGGCTGGATATCACCCCTGCTTCCGATCACGATAATGACGATATTCAGCCTCGGGCGGGTTTGCGGATCTTTCCACCACTTCTTCACCTCGACCTTCTTCTCGATCTGTGTCGTTTTCTCTTCCTCCTCCATCTTCTTCTGGTCGGCTTCGGTCTCTGTCCCCGGCACCATCCTCAAGTGGCGCTTAATCCCCCCTCCCAGTGCCTTCGCTAGATACCCCGAGTTCGCAAACTCGTTGACGGAGATATGCAACCGTCCATCGCGGTGACTCACCCTCCCCTTCGACCGGAAATGCTCGTTGCCGATATGGAAATGCGAAAACGGCCCCATCCAATCCGGCCCACTTCTCTTTCCTGCCCCTTTTTGGGCTTCCTCATCCGGCCCGTTGATCCCCTCTCCATCCAACCCGTATATATCCGCATCTTCATCGCTCTCGCTCTCGCTCGACGATCCCTCGTCTTTCCGTAGTTGATATGCGACGGCACCGGACAGTCCAACCGGGCGTGCCCGCCGATTCCATGTTCGTCGTTGAGAGTGCTGCAGTGCTGCAGGACGGCTAGTCCTGCTTTTGCGGAGAGGAGGGCGAGGAGGGTTAGGGTCTGTGCTGGCGCGGACTGGGGGGTTATGGCTGGTAGAAGCGTATGGTGGATCGCTGGAGGAGCGGACAAGCTTGCTGCCGTTTGTGGTTGCCCCGTTAGCGTGGGAGGTTGTCGTGGTAGCTGAAGTGGAAGGATGCGGAGGTTCGGGGGTGGACTCCTGGATGGCGGCGGAGTCAGAGGATGGTTCAGGCATTGCGGAGCAAGTGGAAACCGGCAATTGAGAAACGATCCCGAATGCTGTGCTACCCTGATCTAGCACCGTTATTCTGTATATGAATGGCGGTCGTTGAGATTCAAGTATCGCGCGCCCCTCGTTGCTTCTATGTCACCGCGGCGTTGCAATGTTCCATCTTTCGGCGATCACGATACACAGCAGAGCATTGTCGAAGCCGAAGAGCAGGACTTTGAAATTGAGGAGGCGAGAGACTCGGGTTGGACATCCTCCGTGCTAGGGCTATAATTTTGTTCTATTTACATGCGGACGTTGTACGGAGAATTCAAGAATTGGATGCAATTTCCATGGCTTCCCCCTGCCTTGGTGAGTCTTGGATGAGATCATCGTGAACACGAGAGACGATCGCCGCCTTGGTGCCTGAGGCCAATAATTCAGACCTGCAGACGTAAAGGCATGTTACATAATACCTTAGTAAGGCACATGAGCAAGTGAGCATCCTCTTGCACTCAATTAGACAGACAGACTCATCGCTATCCTCATAAAGTCTTCATTAAATCTAACCCGATTTAGCCCTAGCTCTCATTAAGCCCTCATAAATACTAGCCCAATTAGGTATATCATTAAGATTGTCCTCTCTAGGCGTGGCAGGAATCAATCAATCAATCATGGTAGGCGGGGTGGAGGCTTGCAAATATTACTGTATAGAAAACTACGTAACTATAGAAGATTGCAGCAGCTTCTGAGCTTCACCACCGCCTCATGCCCGTTCCCAACGGCCCACAACAGCGGCATCTGGCCGGACCAGTCCTTCCAGTCGACGTCGACTTGGCTCGTCTCGAGCAGCAGTTTGACGATGCCCTCGTGCCCGTTCTCAGCGGCCCACGACAGCGGCGTCCGGCCGGAGCTGTCCTTCGAGTCGATGTTGACTTGGCCCGTTTCGAGCAGCAGCTTGACAATGGCCTCGTGCCCATTATCAGAGGCCCACGACAACGGCGTCCGGCCATAATTTCTATCCTTAGAGTTAACATTGACCTTGCCAGTATTAAGCAGCAGCTTGACGGTATCTTCATGCCCATTCCCAGCGGCCCACGATAGTGGCGTTCGGCCGTCGTTACCCTTCGAGTTACCTCCAACGCTTGTGGTTGAAAGCAAATGCGTAGTAATCACTGCGTATCCTTCTTTCGCTGCTTTTAACAGAATCTTAACTCTACCATCATTGTTCCAGCTCGGGTAATTTGTTTCGAAGAGATGGTTGAAGATATCTTGACACACTCCTAGCGTTTTTTTTTTGGATACTGTGATTTTCCTTAGAGCTCTTCGAAAGGGTTATAAATGCTTCAATTTCTCCACCGGTTGAAATGCGCGTCCCTCTAGCTTGAGCGTGATTAATAATTGTAGAGCGTGTTGTACAGAGAAACTTTAATGCTTCAGGCGAAATGGTCGATCGATTAACTCTATCCGAAACAATGAATGGAAGGAAGGGCAAATTCTCGAAAAAACTATCCAATGTCCATCGCGGAGCACTGAACACGGGGCGATTAATCCTGACTCCGAAGGAAAGGACAGATATAATATCTTGAACAAGGTCCTGCTCACTAATCTCGTAGCTCGCTTCAAAATTCCCATTGGTAATATCACTCGCAATACCAAGGAAAGCATAGATCTTGTCCCTCTGTCCGGTCGTTTTACCATCACGAAATTTAAGGAGAAGCGTAAAGAGATCCCGTTCTAACGTCCACCAGGAGTCTTTTTTCTCTCTTAAGAATCAGGGCATAACATTTAGTAGAGGCTCGATTGGAGATATCTCAACGGATTTTTCAAGCATCCAGGAGAGAGATGAAAAAATCCCTGCTGAGACCGACTTCTTCCCACACATGATGGTAGCGCTGCGGGCAAGAGCAATTTCCTGGACGATCCAGGCTCTCTGGTACCATTGTCTTTGGAGAAGATATTGAAAGCCATCAATTGCTTCTTGACGATAGACATTGATTCTCAAGGGAGATTTAATCTTAGATCCTCCTGCTGTCCTACACCACATTTGTCAAGCACATCTCCAAGATAATTTAGGGACTCCATGGCAATGTTGGTTTGTTTGGTGTCTTCTCCAAGACAAACGACCACCTCTGTTGCTCCTTGATAAATGCTCTTCATTAAATTTACTTGATGGCCTCTCTCTTTATTGATATTCTGATCAATACAGATTGCATCTATCCAGAACGTTCGGGTAGAATCCTGGTTTCGAAGGGATTGTAATGCCAAGTGCAGATTCGGTCGAATCGTCATTCTCTCGTTGCTGACAGTGATTTCGGTCGAGCCTTTTCCCTCCCCCCAAACATAAGAGAGTGCTTCATATGACTTCTGATCAATATCTTTGAGCTCGAAATCCAGGAGCTCACATCGAATCTTGCCATCGGGGTCGCCTGGAAGAAGTTCTAGAAGACGAATCACTGCCTTCTTCTCCGGCAGTAATGAGTACTGGAAACTAGAACCTTGGACTGGTGGGCCAGCATCAGAGGATACTTTCGTGGACATGATGTTTTACATGTTGCTTCAGGATTGTGCTAGGTAGCTCGGTTGTTCAAGAACACTAGATTCTGAGTAGTAGTTTCTATAAAAGATTTCCCCGGTGAAGATGTGAGATATCAAGTTAATCACTATGCATTTCTCAGATCCACTTTGCATTAACTAGTGGAGTGTGGTTAACTATAACTAACTAAATAGAAGGTAGTAAGCCAGGCTCCAGCTACGGGCAATAGAATTTGGAATTTTTACCAATTACCACTCACCCCTACTAACCTAGCTCACCCTAACCCCCTCAGATGTAGTATTGGTTGATCTTGTGGTTAGTTGGGACTTTGGTAGGAGTTGGGTATTGTTTGCCTGTATGCCAGTCTATGTGTACCCCAATTGTCGAAAGCAGTCTGTGCCGTAGCGAGCTAGCTCTGTCCAGACGGCTTTCAAACTCGAACTGTAGCACTCAAGCACACTGACTGTATCCACACTGGCTAGAAGTTGGGTGAGTGAGGTGGTATTAACATACATTAGTAGCCAAACATACCATCCAAATCCACAGTAAACCAGTGATGTCCTGCAATAGCCTCTGGCCGAGCAGTATTGTCCGTTGAACGGACCGCCAGCACAGGTATATCTCCCGTTCCCTGATCTACACGATCCATCTAGGAACATTAGATGGCATACAAGTATTCGAAAACGCAGTTCGACTGAGACATGTCAGGAACTGTCGGTCAAATTACATACGTATTAAACACACCATCATTATGTGCAATGAATACCTGTAGTCCCCCAATATCCACTAGAGCTGCAACAGCCACCGAAGCCAGAATTCGTACATGAGCAGCCGTTAGTGCCACGACATGTACCATCGGCGAAGTATTGTCGCCTCCAGAACAAGTTCCGTACGTTGACTGACAGCCAGAGCCACAGTAAACAGAAGAGCTGCCACACCAGCGTGAACTGCTACAACAGTTTCTGAACGATTATCCAGCACAGGTATACTAACTGGTACCTCCGCAGCTACCATCTGGGGATATGGTTGGTCCTAATGTGTAAGTTCCGAACTATGACTGGCAACCCCTTTCTCAGTGTACTGTAGAGCCGCCTCATCATCCAGACGAGGTGCAGCAATTGCCGTAGCCGGATCCTTGACATGTGTAGCCAGTGGTGCCTCCACATGTACTACCTGGAGAGATATTTGATCCGGTACATTGGCCGAACACGGGTTGGCATCCCGCCTCACCATGTGTGGAAGTGCTTCCACACTAGCCGGCGCTGCTACAGCAAATTCTGAATAAAGACCCTGCGCAGACGAAATCGTTCCTCCCGTCGCAGGTACTGTCCAGCAAAAAGCTGCCTGGCGTTGGGCTCGGGGTTGGGCGAGCTGGATTGGACGAGCTGGATGAAATAGACGAACTGGACGGCGCGGAAGTAATGGAAGAGCTGCTACCACCTGGCATCGTTGTCGAGGGCAGATCGGTCCCAGCGCAGACGAAATAGTCTTCTTCGAGGCCCTCGCATGCGGGTCCGAGTGTCGGATTCCAGACGTAGAAGTCGGCGACGGCGAGACTATTCCCGTACACGATAGAGTAGCAGCCGTCGCCACTTTGGACACGTCAGTGTTGGATTCATATACCTGGATTTGGATTTTATACCTTGTCACGAGCCACTATTTTGTATATCTGGAGGTGATTCTAGTCTGTTGAGAAAATGGCGCTGTTCCCGATGGCAACGTCGTTAAAGTTGGTGCCAGCGCGGTCTGAGTCGTTGGGGTACCTGGGATCCCAACGCAATACCACACGTATTCCTGTGTAGCGAGGGCACCTCAATTGCCCTAAATGTGATGTCCCTGATCAAAAGATGATCATTTGTGGCTGAATAAGTGCGATCAACTGTTTGGATGTCTAAATTCTATCAATGACCTCTGATTTCAGCAATAGGCATGCGATTTTCTTCGGTTCATAGGTAATGCGAAGGCCAAGAAGACTTAATCTAAGGATATTATATGGAACGATACCAACATGCGCCATGCTTACAAGGACTGTGCACACAACTGAAGGCGTCTTTGAAAACAACTTTCCAAGACTGAAAGCGCCGCATTCCCACTCGCTGCAACTGTGTATAAAGGTAATAGACTGGATAGTTTTGATGCGAGGCTCCACTGGATTCGAAGGGACTGGATAGCTAGAATAACGAGCGAGGAAAGAATGGAGTGTTAGGCGAAACTGCTCGTTTCAGGTTCGTCGGCAAACTATGTCATCTGTTAGAGGCGACCATCTTTGCTTGCAAGGGGAGATAAGTAAGAACGCATCTCAACTACTTACATGCCAGGTATCAATCCTCAGTACGGATCCCTCCGCGGTTATGGAGATCGGTGTTAAAACTCCAATAGCAATGATTTCGTTCAACCAGTAATATTTCTCCGACCCGGTCTCGAGTTGGACCCGCAAGTGCAATGTGTTGCCTACTGTGGGCCCGCTGGTCCGGAGGAAAATGACAGCACCGTCATCCGTGACAATATTGTATCTTGTGTCTGCGCTGAAGACGCCAGATACAGGATCCACCGTGCCCCAGTCCGCGCCCACATCTGCGATGTCTCCGTTGATGAGGGGTCCGGTCACATTGCCGCCGACGATGGGGATTGTCTTCCGAGTGCCAGCGGGACCCTGTCCTTGGCCGGCGATATCGGGTGTACACAGGACGTACGCCGTATATAAGAATTTCAATTCTGGTGCGGCAGGTGTCGCAACAGCAGCAGGAACAGAATCCTGTGCGGATACAAGCTGGCTGGAGAGGAGTGAAAGCGCCGAAACGACGAGAGTAAGTGCAAGCATGGTGAGCGATGAACAGCCGGAAAAGACTCGAATTTGATAACAGTGACGAATGTTGACTTTGAAGCTTGAGAGAGAGCGAGGCGTGGGCAGTTTATACTTAAACAGACGACTGACTAACCTTTAACCCCAATTTCCTGGCCAGATCTTGCCGAATGTCTTCCCGGAACCGGGAATCCGGATCCATATAATGCTATTATCTCACCGTCAACGGTGTCCAATCGCCTTGGCAGACTCAAATTGGACGTAAAGTTAAGTTCGATGGGTAGTTGACCGCTCTATTGGTCGGTGATAGAGCGGTTCGGCGAATCGGAATAAAAGCGAGAAGGATGCACGCTATCTATCCATGCCTCGTGGGCTTACGCATGAGTGCATGACGGGTATCGACTAATGATCGAGATTATTCGAGAATCGGCATGTGGCTCCTGCGGAGATATGGAAAAGAAATGGAACTTTCTGCGGCATCTAGTGGGGGTAGTGACACTAGGTACTATTGGACCAAGCAGATAATAGCACTATTGGATTGTGGATCGGGGCCGACGACTGCCGTTAGCAATGGTACCTATCGTGGATGACAAGGATGCGCCTGGTGAGATTGCTGAGAGCTGAATCATTGCGGTCGTCCAGGAGACAGTCCCTTCGACTTACTTCCCTACTGAGTACTGTCTCAATGCAACGATCGGTTTATGCCATTGATGCTGTGCTCCTTGGAGAAAAGTGAGTCTGTAACATCCCTATCTTGCTGACGATTCGAACTGCAGTATACTATGGTACGGCCGAGGAAAACTGGTCTTCAAAAGTCGTGATCGAAACTGATCAGACAATCCTGCATCGGTCGTCGGTCTCTCAAAACTCCGAGTTAAAATAAAAGCTATTGAGACATGAGTCCGTGATAGGCCGTGATAGCGGGGAGCCGGGGACGAAGTTAATAATATGATGAGCTGATGAGGCCATGTCGCCTGCCGGGCATGACGGACTGGACGAGGGTATTGCGCATTTGTGAGTCTGCATCGCGAATCCCAACTGTGGGGCTAACCCACATCCTCATGATGGTATTCAGCAATTCAGCACAGCAGAGATTCCATCTTCACTTTTGCTTCGGATCTTCAAACATTCTCCCTTTTTAATTAGTGTTCCCACTAGACCTGAGAAGTGAAAACAATGTAGTGATCAAGAATCCCGGATGTCGAGGACTCGACGTTGCGATATTGAAGCCTGAAGACTGTCTGGTCGGTGATTCAAGGGCAACGCCACAGTGGAAGTGAAACGCGGTTGGGACGCCACTGGGCCAAAATGGCTCACTTCTGAGATCTATCGCGAATTCATTATTGTTGGGCATCAAGACAGGACTCAAAGAGTGAAGAGATATGATCAATCGTCTCCGATCAATGGCCGTCAATTGATTGTGCCAGGGACTGATTCATTTGATGTCTAAACAGCCAATTAACTGTCTCACAATTACTCAAATTGTTGAAACTGAGAATACGTACATCGTGAAGCGGAATTACGTGCTAACGAGTCTTAGTGAGATAAAATTCCGCCTTGGTAACGCCACTCACACCACTTAAAAGGTAGAAGCTTTTCGATTTCTTGGGTTGAGTGTTCGTTTAGGCGGGGGGTTGACAAGGGTGAAGGGTGAGGGGTCAAGGGGGGTCGTGCACTGACAAAGAGCCTCTAAGTCCAGGGTTGGAAATGGTTTCCGCGGAGGAAGCGCCAGTCTAGCTAAATATGGGTTAAACCGAACGCTGACGGTCTACTGTACCAGCGAATGGAACCTCGGATACCAATTCCTCCCCTGGCACATCCGTATGTTTCATGTATCCAGTCCCCTTCTCATCTTTCTTGATAAAAGCGCAGCATATAAATACCACTCAACCGAATGCTACTTCTTGCTGTCTGTTTGGAACCAGAGGATTAGTTGCTATCCATATTCCATAATAATTGCGGCAGCTCTCTGAGCTGCTTCCACGACAGTGGTAGATTATCAATCCATACGAGCCTGGTATGGGCTGATCCTTCCTAATTCAGAATCGGCTATGTAACTCTGTTCCCTGACTCGAACTTCACATCTGCTGGGACTTTTCCGGGGTTTTTTCAGTCTCCCCGAGTCCTCGTTGCCGGGTTGATGCCGGCCAGTCTCCGGCTTCACTCTTAGGAACAGCCACGTCCACATTTCCACCTAACCCAAATCTTGATACGACATACTAATGTGTCCACGTACACGCTAGCGAGCAACATGCCAACAACTTGCCATCTTCGCTGCTATCCAAGTTTCAAGGAGCCTGGACCATCGAATCATGGATGTATCATGCAGACCTCAAGCACATTCTCCTGTTCTCTAACTCCTCGCGAACCTGAGATCAGGAGGTAAAGATGGGATGACTTGACCAAGTTCCAAGTTCCGCTAACCTGGTTGTCCATACGTTCCTGTTGAACTGATCTATAATTGGTGCCTCTGAGGCGGGATAGAAGGAATCACGCCACGATTGACCAAGACATTTCTAGTTCGCTTAAGTTCATTCTCAAACAGACTGCAGGCCATAGAATTCAGAGTGGCTAGTGTTTCGCCTAGTTTGTTAGTATCGTAACGCCATTTGCAATAATTGCATCCACAATGCAGCTACCATTCGAGCGTTCAAGTACGAGAAGCCGGAGCTTAAGCCCCTATCGAGCTAACTTTCTGTCTCCTACTCCGTACGGAGGCGCCTTTCAAAAAAAAAATCCTGGAGCGTGCACGATGGCGTCGGTAGCGTAGTAGCGTTCTGGCTTAATTCCCCGAGAGAAATCGGGCCAGGGCTCAGCTCAGAGAAATAGGGGAACCCCCCCAAATTTAGGCTCCCCCCCCCAGAATTTAGGCGGTCACCTGCCCAGCAGCCTTGCCAAGTACTATTGTTATTATCATCATCAATCAGACAATCAGTCAATCACCGATCAGGCGATCACCGGATCACCGATCACCGGATCACGATTGGGATCGTGCACGGTCCAGGGAAAATCTTTTGAAAGGCGCCTCCGTATTCTCTCCTTGACTCGCCTCTTGATGGCTGATGGGATTGAGTCTTGATCTGGGCTTTGGCGAAATTTGAGTTGCCACTGCGGCTGCTGCTCCTCCAATAATGTCCAAGGTCATTTTATCCCGTCCAAAGTGCAATCTACAAAACCATTGTGGCTTCATCTCGACCATCCATAGGGTAGAAGCCATAGAACCTCGTAATTTGCGTAGGGCAGGTTGGTGCGCTTTGCAGGCCTTCATCTTCCCGCCTTTTGTGGGGTTTGACGATTCTTGACTCTTGGCCACTGATCAAGGATGAATGATGTGGTGCTCAACATTTGGGAAATGATCTGAGAGTTAGTTCAAATTCTTGATATAGGCCGGCTTTTCAGAGTTTCCACGCTGCCCGATCTTCTAACTCCAGTGCGCTTTTTCTGTCTTGCATGGCCGATTAATCACTGATCGTCCACTCCCTATCTCGAGTCAGGGACTCACAAGTCACTGTCAAGTCACTATAAAAAAATATCAAGATGTCAGACGATTTCTTCAACTCTTTTGATCCGCGAGCGACGAGTCGAGAAGATGAGACAAAAATTCCCATGATAATCGCGGCTCACACGAGCATGCTGGCTATCGCTCTTATTTTGTACATCTGCCGTATGGTCTCCAGGTCGCGACCAACTTTCAAGCTTAGCTGGGATGATTATCTAATCACCATTGCGGTGGTAAGCTTCAGTTTGGACACTATTTTGGAGAAATAGGACTAATAATGTCTGAAGGGCATTGTTGTAACAACCTACGCGCTCACAATATATAGTACCTCACTTGGCTATGGACGACATATCGAATTCCTCAAGCCCGCCGATGCGCCTTTATACATCAAGTTGACGTGGGCCACTCAGATCCTTTGGTCATGGGGAGTGACGTTCATCAAGCTCTCCGTTGCAGCAATGCTTCTTCGGATTCAAAGGGATACTCTTTGGAGAGTTGGCATGGGTGCATGCATTGTATACCTCATCGTATCTGCCGTCGTCACGATGGCCTTACAGATGACTGAGTGCAAACCAATGGAATTCTATTGGAACAAAACGATCAAAGGAACTTGCCGGTCCCGACAGGACGTCTTCAATGCAGTCTTGGGGACGTCGATTACCTTGTTATTATCCGACGTCTTATTTGCACTCCTCCCTCTCACCTTCATCTTTTCACTCCGCCGCCCTCTACGAGACAAGCTAGTCCTCGCCTTTCTCATGAGTCTGGGGCTACTCTGTACGATTGCTGGCACCCGGAAGCTGATCTACGTCAAGGAATTCCAAAAATTGAATGAGAAAGATACGACATGGTCCTCGGTCGAGATGAGAGTGTGGGCTTTCGCCGAATCATATGTCGGCATCATGGCCGCCTGCATCCCCTGCCTTCGTGCGATGTTCGAGAGCGGACTCAAGAAGATCGGCATATCCCTAACGACAACATCCCGGACAGGAGCGCGAAGCGACACTCGGGGAACAGCACCGTCCGGACGGTTCGCACATGGAGACTTCGAGATGATCTCGAGCACAGCGCATGTGTCGAGGCACAATGGTCGGCATTCGATAGATAAGCCTGGCAAGGACTGGGACGGGACATCGATTCCCGAGAGCGAGGAGGCGATTGTACCGCACCATGGTATTGTCAGGAAGACTGATTTCACAGTCAGGACAGAACAGCGGGGGCGGTGGTAATGGAACATTGCTCGAGTCCTTATGTATTAGCGTCGTCGTATATTCAATACACTTACAGCGAAAGCAAACCAAGCCCTGAAAGAAGTGGCTGAGGAGTACCAAAATAAGCCCAACATAAACTTCAAGATCGGGTGGTCGGAATGAAGTGCCTGGGTGAAGGAGGGTGTCAGTGGTCTCATGTGTGCCCCACAAGCGTCCGGAGTACCCAGACCTGAGTCAACCAGAGTTGCAGTATTTCAAACCTATCACTACGAATCACAGATATTATATACCAGAACGGAAACTAGACGTCCAACAGAGTCCGGAAGATATTATTGCTCTGGAGGAGACTAACAATCGAACCACCTTCGGTTCTGCTCTGCGGGTACACCAGATGAACATGAATTCATGCTCAAGGATAGCGGCGCGGCAACGACGTTTGACAGGCTAGGGTGTCCCGATGCATTCAAGCGCATCATCTATGATGCGATGGCAATATTCCAAACAATCCATTGAACTGGAAGTTTGGCGGTGCCTATGTTGAGGACTTGTACAGTTACGAATCCACGCTAAACGGTCGAACCGCGCTTGGCCCCCCATCACCGAGAACCATGGCTACTGTGAGGGATGGTACAAGGTTGCTTTCGGCAATTACAAAGATGAAAGGGCGTGGATGGCGGGATATGACTATAGTCAGGATAATTGCCGAAGCACGCGAGAGGATGCGTGGGCGGTGGCATCTCGACCTGGCAGTTCTGGTATGTATCATGACCGGCTAGATGAGGATGGAAATGAATGGAGCGCGTCGTTCAATACGCCAATCTGGGTCAGAGCGCGATGTTTTGATAATAAGAAGGTCCAAATCGCGTCTCGGGGCTTTACGGGTGGCTGCATTGGGAGCGATTGAGGTTCGAACGGCGTCTCCACGCGGCGGAGTCCTGATGTGAGATCTGTCGAGTCGAATAAGTGCATATATTTTGAGATAATTGATCATATTTGTCGTCAGTAGGATGTGAAGTCAAAAAAATATAATGATGTTGGTTCATTTATATTCCTGAGACAGGTATCATCGATAAAGCATGAGTATAGAGCTCTAGAGCTTTGATGTTGGCAGTGAACAGCCGCATCTCGTCTTGCGCCTGGGGTGACGTCCAGATCCAAAAGACAGCGACAGGGGTACCGAACCATACTGGCAAGATCGATCAGATTAGACCATGTGGCCCAGATCACCATCCATTATCCTTACCGAAAATTCGCGACATCACTATCACCACATTTTGCATGGCACGATCGCTTAACTAATATTCTCAGCATTTGCTATTTTGTAGTTTCCTAGATTTCTGCGTACGGGCGAGATGAATTGGGGTACTTCTTATTGCGGGCTAGACACCCGGATAAGAGTCCAAGTCAACTCCTTTCAGAAGTAAATATATGTAACATGGTTAGCAATTTCGTCAAAGGTGTGAGTAGGCGCTTCACGAGCAAGGTGAGAGAACATGGTACCGCTGTGAAGCATGAATGTTTTCATAATAGAAGCAGATCCGCCCGACGTTGCGGGTTATATAGGGCATTCAAGCCTTTCTTTGACGAGACACTTGGTCGGCAAATTGCAAGCGATGCTCCGTCAAGGCGGAATGGACGGTTGATTTTGTGGTAATTTCAGTCAGATACGGAGGTCACAGAGCTGGACTAAATGTCGAACGCCATTTCAACCATGTAGTATATCCATAAGGCTGCCCCATGCTCTGTTGCCTTGATTCTGAGATTTGAACTATTTGGTCGCCTTTGACACGGTCTGGATGCGCAAGATCTGCGATTACCAAGTTCCATTAATCTAAACTGAAGAGAGAGAAGGAAGAAATCTCCCAGCGCCTCTATGCACGAGATATAAACTCTTCTCTCTGCTATCCTAACACAGCTTAACACATCTCCTTAATACAGCTCCGTCCTAACATATAGCTCCCATATGACTATCTCCTTGATAATCCTCCATGCCATCCACTAGCCACATCCCTGTGGCGTCAGCCATACCCAAGGGCCCAGGCCACAGGCCCAGGACCATAACAATAATTGTGTTATAGTGTCGATGCTGAGACTTCCAAGCAGCTGCCCACTTAGTGCGTGTGTGCCATTGATTTTTGTATAAGTATTGGCAAAGCTCTCGCTGGTCAACATAGTCTTTGAGTAACTCATCCTACTTCAGCTCAAATGCAAGTAGTCCTTTTGCGTAGACAAACTGCTCTAGTTAGATCTATGAAAGACTTTTAAGAGACCATTAACGGGGAGCATACCTGACTCTAACGTTTCATGAATTGGCCCAATTGCTCAGTGATTTTCTGCTTCTCTTCTTTTGTCTCGCAATCAGCGTCTCCAGGTCTTTTGAGCCTTTGTTTGCACGTTCTTGTTCATATGCCATACGCAAAGGAGTTATGGAACACCTAGAAACAGAGTACGAGCTGCCAGTTTCACCGCATCTTTCTGATCACTAATGAACACGCGTGGCTACGGTGTCCCTGTCTTGAGGAGGAAGTTTGAGATTGCCCGATGGTAATCTACTTCTTTCTCGCTATGGAGGAAGCAGAACCCTACAGAGAAGAAGATCTGCAGATTGGTGCAGCCGAGTATGTGTAACAGTGGGAGTTTGTACTTGTTGGTTCGGTACGTACAGTCCATCAATAGGATATCGGGATTCGCAAGCAGTAGCTCGATCTACTTCTAGTGGGCAAAGAAGAGACCTTGTACGTGATTATCCGCATCCTTCTTAACAGTGAAGACCCATTCTGGCGTAGATAAGTCATCCAGTAATGTCCTAATCGGATTCCTCCCATTTAAGTTCTTCTCTCTAATTGCCTTCCTCTCGCTGCGGATATCGATGGCAGAGACTAGCGTTTCCGGGTCCTCCTTTTGAATAGCAGCCATTATCTGCATCGGCCGTACCCCGGCATGTGTCATTGATTCAATTGTGTCTTTCTGTACTGATGTACGCCTGCGGTAGACATTATGCGCACTAGGGTTAAGTGATCGGGGGTGGTTGTGATGCTTGTGTAGCACCTCTAGCTTCCACTGGTCGTCATTTTTGTTCTTGAATATGATAAGCCTAAAAGTACACTCTATTTTGCGTGTGCTTGTGCTTAGAATCCTTGCTCTTGACTGATAGTTTCCGGATCGATCGCATTGATAGTAATATCGCGTCTTTATATTAGAACCGTGAGGGTTGCTCCGTTTGAGTGCGAAGCCGTAACCATGCTGCATACCATGGATTTTGAGAGCATTGTAGGCTTCTTTATAGGACGCGTGAAGACCATCTGGAGGAGGGGCGATATCCTCCATACTTAGAGGTCCGAAACGAATACGAATAATATGAATAATATGAATAATTTGTGAATATGAATAAAGTCTTGGCGAATAATGTGAATATGAATATGCCTTATATTCATATTCGCGATATTCATGAATATTCATAATATTCATGGATACTTCGCATAGATATAGGCAAATGAAGTTGTAACATCTCATCGTCTCTGCATTCATAGAGTGTCTCCTAAGACCTAACACGTCTCGTGCACCACTAAAAGGACGTTCTACGCCCACCTCAATAGAGGGAACTGAGAGACAGTCGCGTGCCGCTTGAGCCATGCAAGGAAAGTCAGGCGCATTTGCTTTCTACCATTTCAAAACCCAGTCAGGGTCACCATCCGCAAACGAGGGATGCGGGTCGTTAACGCGACAGACGTGTCATAACTATCCAGGATTCGCGGCTTGAAGTATATAAACCTCCATTCTCTATTACCGAAAGTCGAATACATGATTTGACGCGACATTAACGTGTTAACTCATGTAACTTATTTCCAGTGCAAATTTAATAGTTATTCAATAGGTTTTGGAGGTTTTAGGCGGTGTTGACGTTTGAGAGGTTGTTTGTGCGGAAACTTGAATAAAAATGATATTGGGAATGAGAGCCAACCTTTGAATCTCTTTACCATATACCTGCAATAGAATAGGGCCCATCTGGGCCCCATACCTAGACATAAGGGATATATAGAATCCAAGTTCATGACTATTCGCAGCACAGCTCAAAGCAGCGCAAAAACACCTGCGTGTGTTCTGGCATAGGAACTGGACTGAAATCTGTCTATTGACAAGCAAGACGATAACTAGTTAGTATAACTATAACTATATGGGAGGAGGAAATGGGTCGGCCTGGAACAACAAACCCCCGGAGAGAGATGTGAATAATATGAATACGAATATGAATATGAATATTAGGCATATTCATATGAATAATATTCATATTATTCATATTCGCGAAAGGCGAATATGAATACGGGCCATATTCGTATTCATTTATTCATTTCGGAGCTCTATCCATACTGAGGTCTGTGAGAGAAGGAATAGATTAAACATTATCCCTAGGCGAAGACGAAGGAAATTGCGCGCTAGTGAGACGGTTCGATCGCGAAGACTGCGAATACCACTTTCATTCATTACAAAGCTAGGGAGGAGAAGGAGAGAAGGGAAGCTAACTACGGATGCGGAGAAGAAGTAGTAGGGAGACCGGTCACGTGGTTACAACCACGTGATATCAACTGGGAACGTGCTGCAGGCTTATCTCACAATGCCAGACGTTAGATTACGACTTGCTTGCTTACATCAGCACCTTAGCCCCTTCGGGTAAGGCGTATACAAGACAAGTCTTCATTTAACGTCTGGGGAAATTGTGTTGAAAAGTTGAAAGATATGATACCTTTTTCCAAAAAATGGTGTCACATTCGGTCTCTACTCCCAACGTAAGGCTTCAGCAAAAGTGCGCTTGTGTTCGACTAATTAACTTGGCTACTGGCTATATTTTGAACCTAGTTTTACTCACAGACAAATCGAAATGAACTCATAATGTTGGAGAAACTGGACCGAAACGATTTGTATGGGCGTCTGGCTTGTCGTGCAGAAACAGCTCAACACTCACAAGTGGCCTAGTATGCTAAAAAATCTATCAAATACATTCTGCTGATGCACATTATCCTTCTCATAATATTTTTTCCACCTCAGATCACATTGTGGTGGAGTGGAGTGGGGTCACTCGTCAGAAATTCTCCCTTCGAGGCGCTCGGAATCGCCATCAGACCATCAACACCAGTCAACTAGAAGCCAAAATCCAACACGCGTCGCCCAAATGGACATCCTAACATGCGAGCCCCCGACTGTCGCATCAAGCGGGTATCTGGATGATACGGAGCCCTTGATTAGACAAAATATTCGATCCCTGGAGACGACTGTTAGCATGGACTTACCTCATATTACCACCAAGCTGTTTCAATTCATTTCACGGCTACGGGCACCGGATGAACAAGCCATAGAGCATATTTTTTCGTGCCGGGAGCTCTTTATCCACGCTTTGTTGACTCGATTGTTAGTGGACCGAACTGGCGCGTAGATTTTTCATACGAAAGATGGAACCGAAAGTTTGGTCTTTCAAGCCGCCTGGATCATGGCTGCTCCCAGATGAAATTTGAGTCGAGTTGGCTCGACATCCTTATGCTCCGCTCCTAAGCACGTCTGAGGTAAAATGGGGGAGAGGATCTCGAGGACAAGAGTTGGAGGAGACTCTCCGGGACATGGACGATGGCGCAGCATACGCAGTCCGATTTCGAGCCTTTTATGGTGGAGAATGCCGCCAGATTCCGGGAAGAGTCATAGAAATTGAATGCCACGAAAAGTTAGAAGAAACGACCAATGGTTAGAGCGGCGTCGGCCGCCGAATCATCACCCGGAATTGCTCCAGACTCGAGCTCTTCTTGCCAAACGGCCACAACCAAGGGCCCGCCTTGATCGTCAATGTCTGCTCTTGGTGTATTCGCGCGAGCAAGACGGAACGACATGGAAACTAGTGGAGATGGAAGAAACGAAAAGGAAAGTAAGACGGAGGAAGCGAGCAAATACTGTTGACACAATCAGAACGATTGACCAAAGTGATGTTGTATCACCGATACAACGACGACGTTTGTAAACGTTGCCAAGATCTAAGGGAGTGTGTTCTTAGCAAAGCCTACTGTGGGACAGCCGGAGAGACAGCCAGAGGGAATATTCACTGCATCAGATGGCGAAAACGAGTATGGGGATTATGCAGATGATAACGAGGATGATAATGATCCCCAGGAAACAGATGAGGAAGTTTTTGTCACTTTAGAGCCTCTGGATTTTGACAAATAATCCTTATTTATTGTTGCATACAAATCGTTGCACCCTTTGTACAAAAAGTAGCCAGACGGGCTGAAGCCCTGAAACCTTACTGCGAATTTATTCCTTAGTAATCATCGAGGGCTTGGCACGTCTGGTATAACGAGATAACTGCAGGCCGGGACCGTAACAGCTAGGCCTAGTTGAGCGATTAATTTCCACCATTACTAGCGGGAGGGATAAATCTCACCAGCCATCATAAAAACCTGTTATGATACAAACTCAATGGTGTCTTACTCCCTCGTATCATACAGGTATTGTCATAGTCTTGGGCTGTTCGCCTAGACTTGCGGTAGTTGGACTTGCGGTAGTTGGCCTTGCGGCCTTGCGGCCTGACGATGTGTTTTTTATACAGATCTTGTAACGATCAGCACCTTGAGGTCACGGATGAGACGGTTTGATCGCGAAGACAGCAGATACCACTTTCATTTATTGCAAAGCTGAAGAAGAAGAGCTATCTATGTCGCGAGCGCGATATTGAGGACGTTATGTAATGGTCTTGAGCCTTTGGCTCAGACGTGGTTGTTTGCCTGACGGCCTGGAGAGGCGCAGGTGGGGTGAGCCACAAGCAACACGTGACTACCTGCATGGCTTCATGCAGTGTGTAAAGTACTAAGCCAAGAGTCTGCGCACAGACCCCAGTCTCAGCT